CATACAGCCACCGAGGTACGCAGAGAAACAAACGAACAATGGGACTCGACGCGCTCTCAGATAAAGAGGACCTTGGCAACACCACTATTTAATTCAATTAAAATAAAGGCGCAGAGGAAGCGGCACTTGTGTGAAATTAATAACTAACGATGTACACAATGCGCTGCCGACAAACGTACGTACTATGTTTTTTTTTCTGTTATTTTTAAATAGGTGGTAATGGATGTGTAAGCCCGTCACCGTCACCCGGTTTGGGTACGTTTACGAGGTACAAAAAGTGTACCTTTCTAGCAATGGGGCTAGTAGATCTAATTATAATCCCTTTCTATCAGAGATATTCTGTTGGATCTTCTATTACTAATACTGATGTGGGGGTTGCCCTCTGATATCAAGAGTTTCTAAGCTACCCTAAATGGGGGGAAAGGGATTGTTAGTAATGTGAACTATCAGTCCCATTGCTAGCAATATACTCAGTCAAGTCGACCTCCAATTGGTCCCCCTGGAAACCATCGTGCTGAATTCTAGGTGTATTCATCACGATGGGCTAACTGACCTGCCTTTTCATTTTATTTTACAACACAAGGGGCAAACGAGCATGCGGCTCACCTGATGGTAAGTGACTACCGCCGCCCATGATCACCCACAACACCAGTGGCATTACAGGTGTGCTGACGGCCTTTTAAAAAGGAATATACTCTTTTCTTGAAGGTTATAACTATTTTATTTCCTTTTATCTATTTATTTTTTTACATCATGCTTTACAAGATAAGAAGGTAATTTTTTAATAGATGTAAATAGAATGGTGCAGGAACCAGTGAGGGATGATAGGTGAGGATGAAAGGTCGAATGAAAGGTAGGTTAGAAGGTCGTGCTGAATTCTAGATGTATTCATCACGATGGGCTAACTGACCTGCTTTTTTATTCTCACCTATCATCCCTCATTGGTGCCCCGCCAGCGTATACCGATAGCGCAGACGGAGTTACAATTCCATTATCGTCCATTAAAAAAAAAATCTATTGGCCAAATATTTGATCAAATGTCAAATTGTTTCTTTATATTGCAACTTCCTATTTCGTCAAATAGGATCGTTTGTCGCCAATTCGCGTGAACAGTGACCTCGAGCGATAAGTTTGTACAGAGGAAATTGCAGCCCTGTAACAATGCTGCCCAAATTGGCGAATATGGAGCGCTTTCGCCGAAACTGACAAAGATTGCCTCAAGTTTCCGCTAAATATATTTTTATTTATTGGACTAGGGCTAAATATTCATTCATTGTAATACAATAAACTAAAATTTATTTATTTTATACAACTTAGATTGGCAAACAAGCTGACGGCTCACCTCATGGAAAAAAGTAACTGTAGCCTATAGACATGAACAATATCATGGACATAACAGAGTAGACTGTTTCGCCCATGATACTCACCATGCGTTGCCATTCTTGAGAACTAAGGTTATACCTCTGAAGCCTGTTATTTCATTGCCATATATATTGGGAGACTTTGTACAAAAGTCGATTGCTTGGGTACCTCTGTCCTGTTCGTGTTTCAACCGTGAAGCAGTTGTGTTTGCATGGCTGTGTTTCGGTTTGAAGAGTGCAATATTAACGGCTGATACAAAAACAACAATAAATATATTTCGAACAAGGATTATAGAATGGTCAGCATATAGCTTAAAAAACAGGGCGGTTGTATTGAATACGTACAGTATGACTGTTATAGTTACGTCTAGCGTACGGGGCGCTTGACCGACCCACACTCTGCAATCACTAGGGTTGCCCACAACTCTCATGTCAAACTATGCATGAAATGAATTGATGAAGTTCAATTCAAAAAGAGGTGACATTTTATAAGATAGAAAACAATAATAGGAATCAAAGATAGGGATACTCGTATAGTATTATATTATTTGTAGCAAAGATAAGTAGATTAGCATTGTCATTAATATATCTTTATTTTTTTCTAATTTCTATTTTTATCTAATTTCATCCCAATCATCTGGACGAGTGGCGGTCCTCCACCGTGCGTTTTTCAAGGCACTTTCTTCCACGCACAACTACTCTTTGGAATCAACTTCCAGCAGCGGTATTTCCGAACCGATACGACAACATAACCTTCAAGAAAAGAGCATATTCCTTTTTAAAAAACTGGCAGTACACCTGCAATGCCGCTGGTGTTGTGGGTGATCATGGGCGGCGGTAGTCACTTACCACCAGGTGAGCCGCATGCTCGTTTGTCCCCTGGGTTGTAAAATAAATCTGCCATTAATTGTCTGCTGCTGTACATAGGTCTCCCCCTTGAGGGGTTTTGCTATTAATTGCCACGCTTAGCAGGCGATTTAGCAACCGCAATTAGGGCTTGATGATGTTTTAAAAGGGACGCCGCTGTCCATCCCTCGTTAATTTAAATTTCTTAATCGTCTCTTACGACAATCAAGGCAAAAGAAGGGGTGGACCATTTTTTTATTTATTATGATTTTATTATCATTACTAACGGCCTTTTTACATTTTAAAAAGTGCACATTAAGGCTGCACACGCGACGGAAGCTTAAAAATGGAGTAACTTCTCCCGTTTCCCCAACATTTCCCTTCACTGCTCTGCTCTTATTGATCGTAGCGTGATGAAAAGTATACTATAAACTGCCCAGGAGTATAAAGAATAATTGTACCAAGTTTCGTTAAAATCCGTCGAGTAGTTGTTGTTTTTATGACGAACATACAGACAAACAGGCAGACAGACAAAAATTTTACTGATTGCATTTTTGGCATCAGCATCGATCATTAATCAGCCCCTGGTAGTTATTTTGGAAATATATTTTATGTACAGAATTGACCTCTCTACAGATTTATTATAAGTATAGATAGATTAAAGACATACTATATTTAAATAATAAGTCCAATGCCTATTAGTGTAAAATGGAGTACCTCAATATTTTAAATATCTTTATTCAAGTGTATTATTAATGTATTTAAAATTTCATTGAGTTTTATCCATTCCGAGCTAATGACTGGCAACCCTATCCACCTTACCATCAGCACTCGTGTGTGCTGTGTACAACAACCGACACGCGAATAAAAACTGTTCGAATTACTGTATTTTATTATTCGATTAAATCGATTAATATATCCAATTCCGTTTCCCGTTAACTTAATCATGGTAAACAGCAGAGAACTCACTTTACATACGATTTGCAGATTTCAAATGCAAGAAAAAAATATTGACAACTTTATCTTTATCTTTTCAGGTATATATCGCATAGCGATGCTCGTCTTCTGCGATGCCATCATGTCGCAGAAGGAGGCGGCGGAAAGGAAGCGGGAGAGTTCTACTCCCGCACCGTCAATCCGCCGCAGACGAGTCAGAAGCAAAAGAAGAGGCGCGCCCATTTCCGCCCCTCCTTCTTCCCCACTGGGGCCGGGGTGATACCTGTGGGAAGGTATTGTCCCAATGGTCCTGGGGGATGTGCTAATATACCGGCGCATCCCCCGAGTGGTAGGGTGAGCACGCCATCCACCCTATCTTGAGAGAGGAGACCTGCTCTTACCATTAGGGAGCGGGTTGCTGCCGTCCGAGATGTGGTGAGTGCGAAAGCGAACCCATGTCTCCGACATATGGCACTTCGAGGGTATATCGTCTGGTTTTTGGTGGGTACACTCCCACCTTACGGGGGGATTCCCACAGTACCCATTCACCCCCCACAAGGTGTATGGGTAAAGCTTTTTCCAGACGTTAAAAAAAAGGTATTTATCGCATCCTAAATATGGATAGGTCTTCATTATATATTGAAAAAGTTCAAGGATGTATTTCGTAACTTGTACTTCCATGCAAAGAACATCATTTCAGCAATTACCCTGTGCTGATCATAGTCCTGATGAACTATAATAGACTGCAACAATAATAGGTTCTAAGCCATCACATATTGTTCGAATATTCATATAATTTCGAATATGGATTCGTCAAAGATCCGCTGAATAAAATCAAAGATGGATACAGGCTACTGATTGCAAACAATCAAAATTGGCCGTACCTACGTTGAATCAACGACTATCAAAACGTTTATTACATCTAGATAGAAAAAACCTCAAAATAATGATAGGGACAATAACGGGTCATTGTCCATTAAACAAACATTTATACACAATAGGAGCCACAGACAGCCCTCTATGTCGAGGCTGTTTCGACGTAGAAGAAACGGCTGCTCACGTTATCCTGGAATGTGAGGCTGTGGCCCATCAACGTTTAGAAATCCTCGGAACGGTGAGGTCGCTCCGTGTGGCCTGTGAAGAACCCAGGAAGCTTCTGCGCTTCTGGGCGGAGCTAGGTTGGCTGCACTAGCCACGACTCATACACACAACGACCCAAATGAGAGGCTAAGCGTGGAAAATAGAGTCTTTTTCACATTCACATTGACGCCACCACATACCTACACTAGTTGGTGTGTTCGTGACTTTAGAACACTCGCGTCCTACAAAACGTTTGGTTATTCGAATATTTTTCTCTAATATTCGTGAGCCATCGAATCAATCGTCAATTCAGCGTAATTGTCATTACATCGTCATTACATCGGTCGCTTCAGTTCTTTCCTCATATCGGATTCTAACACGTTAGTAAAGCAACAATAATTTTTGAATATTAAATCCACCATATCATAAGATGAATTGTCGTGTATTATCATGTAAAGCACCATGGATATTACTGAATACAGTATTACGTCCTGGAACACATTTCAGGATACTGTTGCGGTTTCCGCACTTCTGTAACGTCTCAGCGATGGTTGTTGAAGCTCATACAGATAGTTTTGATGCAGTCTGACGTGACAAGTCAGTCTTACATAGAATACGTGGGAATAGCAACACTATCCTGAACATGTTTGTAAATAAATCATTATTAGTAATTAAATATATTAGCAGTTTTTAAATACACTTACTAACAAAAAATGGGCTCAAGTTGTCTGAAATAAAGAAATAAATTGAAAAATAAAAATAGCTGTGTGGACATACCCTGCGGAGTGGCGGGCGGCAGGAACGCGAGCAGAGCTGCCAACGCGGCCAGCGCGGCCGGCGGCGGCGCGCGGGCCATCTCCCGCTACCGCTTCGGACGCATCACCGGCGCCCGCGCACACACGCGCACACACGCGCACGCACGCGCACACACGCGCACACACGCGCACCTGCAACACGACATATTTTATATTTTTTTCCACTATTAAAATTGTCAAAAAGTAAAAAAATCGTTCCAAAGATATTTCCTTAGCCTGGTGAATAATAACATCTGAATTACAGAACATAAGTATAAGACGTATGCAGAGGGGCAAATATTATGTAATACTCGTTTAAACTGTGGACCAGATCCAATTAAGTTTTTTTTTTTTTTTTTAATATAACTAGAGTGGATAACTAGGAACCTATTGGTTTCCAGAGGTATTCCAGTACGCGTTGCAAACCCTTAAAAACTTCAGCGTATACCGATAGCGCGGGTGGGGTTACTATAACCCTTAAAAACTACAGTTCAAGGGGGAGAAGAGATTATTAGTAATGCGAATTATCAGTCCCATTGCTAACAATATACCCTAATAAGTCGACTTCCCTGTAGTCTCCCCTGGAAACCATTGTGCTAAATTCCAAGTGTATTCATCACGATGGGCTAACTGACCTGCCTTTTCATCCTCGCTTATCATCTATCACTGGTGCCCCGCCAGCGTATACCGTTAGCGCAGGCGGGGTTTCCATTCCATTATCATCCATTAAAAAAAAAACCTTAAAAAACTTTATTACACTCTTGAAAACCCGAGGTTTTCAAGCTCATTCAGCAGCTTGGACGCACGTGGAAAGAAATTTCTCTGAAATTGCTCTATATACCATTTAGGTTTCAGAGTGTGAAAATTACTCTGTCGACGACGAGTGGTGAAATAATAAAAGGTAGCTAAGGTAAGCAAGTTACAAAAATTTTATTTTCCCTCGAATTATATATTTTTTATACGTATACAACATATAAAATATGAAAGACAATAGCGGGATTAATTTTTATTCTAATAAGATTGTGTAAAACTAGTTGTTTTAATTTAAAAATAAAACGACTAAATCGATTTCGATAAAATTTCTATGCAAACAATCTGTAAGCTTATCCTTTCAGATAAAAAAAAAAACAATTTTCCAAATAGGTTTAAAACTGATAGAGTTATGAAGTAACAAACATTAAAAAAAAAGCTTTTTCTTTATAAAGTCATTTAAAAATACTAAATCTAGCTAAAAAGAGCATTGCTAGTGAAGGAATTTGGTAGTATTATTCATAATAATCTATCTCTGCTGCCGTTGATGGTAAAATAGTTATAATAGGGGGGAAATGGATTGTTAGTAATGGAGACTGAGAATCCCATTGCTAGCAATATACACAACCAGGTCGACCTCCTCGCGGTTCCCGCTAGAAACTTCATCATGATGGGCTAACTGGCCTGTTTTCATTCTCATCTATCACCCTTCACTGGTGCTCCGCCAGCGTATCCCGTTAGCGCAGGCGGAGTTACCATACCATCAAAAAAAATAGTCATAATAGGTCAGCTGACTTCACTTCTAACTTGTTTTGATCCTTTGACCACGTAACATGAAAAGTAGCAAGTGTCTTATCAAGTCTCGGTTTGCCATTTTAAGACAGATACACAGTGGCGGATTTGCCTTAAGGCCCAAGAGGCCCGTGCCTAGGGTGGCCAGATATTAGGGGCGGTCAATCGCGACAAAAAATTCACTGACCATAACAAAAAATAACTCAAAGTACGTATAACTAAATGAAACCTCGGAAAATATTACAAACTAGCAGATATTATAGTTAACTAAATTTATGAATCGATTTCGATAAAAGTTGGCAAAAAAGTAAATTCATTATGTACTCAATATGAGAAAGGGGTAACTGGTACTTACTACATGGCCTGGGCCCTAGATCGGCCAAGACTGCAAATCCGCCACTTCAGATACAAGAAAATAATTATAGTGGAATGTTATTATCAGATATGAGTGAAATTCTACGTAGATATCCAACTACATTACAGTGACGACCACGACGGTGTCCACGCGTGATGCGACGCTTTTCCTTTGGAGAAAACCATAGATAAGATGTGCGTACGATAATTATGTGTCACACACGCAGAACTCTTTATTTTTATGCTCGCTATGAAAATTAATGTAGTGTAAATATAAAAAAAAATAACTCGCAAGTTTGTAAGTTTGTGCTTCAAGGTGAAAGTTAATTTCAAGTTGATATTGTTTTTCAGCTTGCTACGAATATCAAAGTTTAATTTCTTCACCTAAAGCGATTTAACTAGACAAGACTACAACTGTTATATGCCACATACTTAGTACAGTTATGGGTTCGTGCTCAACAGTGGACTATTAATTTATTATTTATTTATTTAATACTTTATTGTACATATTAATTAGACATAAAACTATATGAGGCAAAGTTTGTAAGGATAGATGGATCTATGTTAATCAATTCTTTCACGCAAAAACTACAAAAAAGAATTCAAATGGAATTTAGTATACGTGTAGGTATGTATATAAATATAATAATGAGTAGGGATAATATTTATATTATTATATGTATCACATCTCCCATATTTAGAACTAACAAAATTTTTCATCGTGCCTCCTACCAGACTGTTTATAATTACTCCTCTCCATCCAAAGGTAGCCTGGAAGAGATCGCTCTTAGCGATAAGGTCGCCCATTGTTTTCTCACTGTGATTATTTCTTGTAATTATTTATATTTATAATAAGTTTACTATTGTAATCTTTTGGAAGAAACAATAAAGAGTATCTATCTATCTATCTATCTAGGTTATACGAGTAACTTAAGATACTGATTAACACAAGCAAACCCGCGAGAAATAGCTAGTCAATAATAAATTTAAACCGAAAATTTGTTGTTGTAATTATAAAGAAAATCAAAGCAGATGAAGAAACGCTTCGATGATTCAGACAGACATAGTGTGGAATGGAGTATGCGAGTGACGACACACTGATGAAATTTCGTCAGTGTATTTCATCAGTGCAAAGGTGTGAAGGAGACAGACACTGGCAATACTGAGCTTTTTTTTTAATATTTTTTACCAAAATTTACTTACATTGTCTTCTGAGTAAAACTCTTTTATCTTTTCTTTACATAAACAATAAAATACCGGATGGGTATTGGATTTTTTTGCCATTGAGATGGCAAACAAGCATATGGTAAGCGGTTACCGTAGCCTATGAACGTAGTACACGCGCTTTGTAGACCCTGAAGAAATCTCTTTATCCCTTTTTTGAAGAGCCCCATACTGTAGTCACTTGAAAAAACCTCGACAAGAAACTCATTCTCCTATAGACCCATACACCTGAGCGTTCGAGGAAACATTTCTGAAACCGCGCTGTACGCGACCACCTAGGCTCTAAGTTATGGGGGTGAACTTCCTGTCGATAGCGAGCTGTACATGGTAGAAAGAAATCATCACCTTTTGCCATAATACACAAACACCACCACTCCCATGATACCCTTCTTGCATTACCCTTCCTGAGGACTAATATTTTAAACACCCATACTTTGTTATTTCATTGCCATATCCTACCATTAAACCGAAACTCGGTCTTGCAAACGCAGCTGTTTCATGGCCGAAATTTGAGTGGGACAGTGGTAGATTAATAAATGACTTTCGTACACTCTCTTTTTGGGATGATTTCGCAAGCAAGACTACGAAGGTACATGTTTCTAGCAAAATGACGTTAACTGCAGAAAATGTAGAACTGCTAAACGTATCTATGGGTACTGTTAATATTGCTTAAATTGAATTAATTAAAAGTGCCTATTTATATGTAAACGTAACGTTCTTTAAACTGAGATATCGTACGCAGTCTAACCTCATAGGAGCGGATTTAGAAAGCGGAAAAAAGAGCATCCAAATCGCATCACTATGGCCACTAGCCGGTTTCGCTTTCTTTCTCTTATATATAATTTGCATGTATTGTTTCCCGTTCTACTGTAATGTGATTACGTATCCTCATCGCAGTTTTGTAACAAATTAGCTCATATAATTTTTAATTGCAATAAATACCATAAGACGTCTCAAGTTTCAAACCATTTTGTTCTAATAGGTGAGTACCTACTCACATCTACTTACGTATAACACAGCAAGAACACTACTTATAAAATGGCCTAGACACTTGACATTAGAGGACGCCACCTTCACGTAACAATAAAATGAATGGAATATAAAATACCATAGCATTTTTACAAGCAACAACATTTAACAAGAACTGAAAATGAACGAATAAAAAGCCCTAATCTGTATGAAAAATTAAAAAGTTAACTAGCAATTAGTATCTATTCAATATTTTAGGCGGGAATTTACTTTTTTTTTATTATTTTTAAAAATAGTAAATTATAAGCAGAAATTATCAGTAGATTAAAGTATATTTTTTAAAACATTCGAAATTCAAATGTTTTGAGCATTACGACCAGCCAGTATCTCAACCTCAACCTAAAATTCTTTAGATACTTACATACCTATCTGATAGAGACAAATATCTTTGGGAGTGATATGTAAAGTAGAATAGTGGTGGATATGTGAAGATGGGAATAAATGTCGCTGTTACAAATAGATAAAGTCGATTCAGAATTGACAAAATTATACTAAATTTCGAACAATATTAATATGGGCATACCTAAGCTTTTTTTTATACAACTTAGAATGGCAAACAAGCTGACGTCCCACCTGATGGAAAGTGGTAACCGTCGCCTATAGACATGAGCAGTGCCATGGACATAACAGAGTACACAGTTTCGCCCATAATACCTCCCATGCGTTGCCATTCCTGAAGACTCAGATATTATTCCTCTGTACCCTGTAAGTTCACGCCATATCCCACCCTTCAAACCGAAACACAGCCATGCAAACACAACTGCTTTACGTTTGAAACACGAATGGGACAGAGGTATCCAAGCAGGCGACTTTTGTACCAAGTCTCCCTCTTGTAAAAGCTCTATTGCAAAAAGGATTGACAAAATTGGTTTTAACGATATTAAACAAAAAAAACTATCGAATTTAGTACTTTTTCTTTGCGAAGTCTTTTCAAAAATATATTTAATACACGTCGTGTTTATTAGAAACAATTAGGTTCATTATTGCAATGACAACAAACTCAATATAAAGCCACGACATCATAAAATCGCTTACAAGATTGTTGTGTTTTAATGGAGGATAATTTCTATTGTTGACAGGGCGACCGTGACAATGGAAGTGTTACAGCAGGGCATTGGGTCTCTATGGTCTTCTAGTGTAACCGTTGATACAATTTCAATGCAAATTTTGTTATATATAAGGCTTTATATATGTTAAAGAGTACATTAAGCATAAAAAAATGGCGGCTTCATTCACAAGGAAATTAATACTGACTCGCAGTGATTACTTCTGATTATTTATTCTATTGATTAATAATGTTATTATTCTAGTATTAAAACGAATAAGCGAAACAGTATACTCTGTTATGTCCATGGTACTGCTCATGTCTATAGGTGACAGTTACCACTTTCCATCAGGTGGGCCGTCAGCTTGTTTGCCATTCTAAGTTGTATAAAAAAAAAACGAATAAAACGCACTAATAACCAACGAGATATTTACACAGATATTTCTAACAATAAAATTTTATAAATATTCGATTTTAGAATATGGTATCACGTGTCTACATTTTGGATACGCAATAAATGCAACCTTTCGCCATAAGAAAAAAAAAAAACAGAAGCTACAATCGAAGGTAGATAGATAGATAGATAATTTATTTGCATTACTTACAGCACACAAATTACAACATATAGGGGAAAAGGGATTGTCAGTAATGGAGACTAAGAATCCCGTTTGTTAGCAATATACCCAACCAGGTCGACCTCCACGCGGTTCCCCCTGGAAACTATCATGGTTAATTCCTGATGGATTCATCATGATGGGCTAACTGGCCTGTTTTCATTTTCATCGATCACCCTTCACTGGTGCTCCGCCAGCGTATTCCGCTAGCGCAGGCGGGGTTACCATTCCATTTTCACACATCAAAAAAAAATTACAACATATATAGATATACATAAAAAGCGAGATAACATAAATGATTAAAAAAAAAATACATAAAGCTAAGTACAATTTTTCATTTGTTCGTGTGCCATGACAATACAAAATGGCCACAGGTAAGTTACTAGTAAGGAGCTGTACATATATAGCAACAGCTGAGGCGGCTCCTATTACCAGCAACATTAATTGTTTTTTTTTTCTGTTTGTTGTTTTAATTTTTATTTTCTTAATACTGGTAATAAAGGTTATCTATCTACTAAAATGAATATGGATTTCATATTAATTTTCAAATTGACTACCTTACTAAAGTACCGTATGTCAGTTCGCTGTAGTATATATACCGACGTAGATTTTTTATCTATTTGATTTAATTAATTATATTCTGAGGCTTAAAATATAATCTAAGCTTTATCCCATTTATATTTCTGCCATTAAACAATAGCTTACGTGGCTGAGTTTCAGTTTAAAGTAGGTACGCGTACAATACATAATTATCTGCAATAGAATTCTTCTTTTATTTTTTATACAACTTAGAATGGCAAACAAGCTGACGGCTCACCTGACGGAAAGTGGTAACCGTCGCCTATAGACATGAGCAGTACCACGGACATAACAGATTATACTGTTTCGCCCATGATACCCTGCATGCGTTGTCATTCCTGAGGACTCAGATGTTATTTCTTTGTACCCTGTAAATTCACGCCATATCTCACCCTTCAAACCGAAACACAGCCATGCAAACACAACTGCTTCACGGTAGAAACACGAATGGGACAGAGGTATCCAAGCAATCGACGTTTGTACAAAGACTCCCTCTGGTAAATCAAGATGGCTCATGAAGTACAGTATAAGTAATAAGTACATACTTCATCTTGGCAACAGGCACTGAGAAGTGAGGACGCATGGCGTGGCATCGTAAATCGTGTTATACCCGCGTCGCCACCTACGCCGTCGTCGAATCAACCCACTCGGAACCACTGTTACGTTCCACGTAATGCTTTACTGTTCTATCACAACATTTACTGTACTGTCATAGTAATGACTCCAAGGAACAGTTAGATATTATAATTATCATCAAACGATGATGATGATGTTGATTTTTAAACGATTTGCCAAAAAAAGCTTTGCGGAAAAATATCATAGCGGCTATATAATTTAGAATGACAAATGCAACTTACTATATCTTATGAACCAAGGCAAGTTAAAGTACCTTCGAAAATTAGGCGTAACATGGATTTCTTCATTTAAAAATCTTAGGACGACCACTTTGATGGACAATAATAGACAGCAGATGGAGCAAAATTACCGTACATATTGTAGGAAACCTTCGTCACAAGGAATGGCTATGTACGAGAATTATCATGAGCATCACAGCGTATTTTTTTTAGGATGAAAGTGGAATGGTAAACCTCGCCTGCGCTAACGGGATACGCTGGCGGGGCACCAGTGAATGGTGATTGATGAGGATGAAAACAGGCCAGTTAGCCCATCGTGATGAATTCATCTGGAATTAATGATGATAGTTTCCAGGGAGAACCGCGACCTGGTTGGGTATATTGCTAGCAATGGGATTCTCAGTCTCCATTACTAACAATCCCTTTCCCCCCAAACATCACAGCGTATTTCGTGATGTCTATGGTCATGTTCATGTCTATAGGCGACGGTTAAACTTTTCGTCAAGTGAATTGTCAGCTTGTCTTCGGAACATTATGAGTAAATATTAAGATGTCGACGTATGTTCAATGATATACAACCATGACCTATATCAAGCATGCGAGTTGTCCTCAAACCAATGCTGTATGCACTGGCGCGTACCAAGTGGGTCCGCCCGTTGCACCGCGTTATGCATCCGCGGTGCTCCGGTATAGTGCGTGAACACACGCATTGTGCAACAATGTGCACTTTAGAGTGGATCGTCCCCTGAAGAAGCCATGCTGAAAATCATTCAAGGACACTTTAATAGCAGAGTATAGCTGTTAATATACTAATTTCTCAAATGTTTTAGAGATATGATATAGTTTGGAAATGGGTCTACAATTCTCAATTTCAGTTTTGGAGCCTTTTTTATGCACAGGTGTGATAAATGCGGATTTCCATATAGCCGGTACTGTACAGTCAGAGACAGAGCGTTTAAATAAAAGTGTGATAGGGACAGATATAGTTTCAGAACAAGCAACAAGAAAATGGGCTGATATGTTATCTGGCCCTGGCGATTATGATGTATCTAATTGAGATAGAAGCTTTTGGACTTTTTACAGATCTGTTTTTTTTTAACGCGCCACCTACCCATTTATGCTTTAATTCCTTCTACCCAAAGGTTGTCTGGAAGAGATTGCTTAGCAATAAGACCACCTTTTGTACTACACTATACGTATTGAAAATTGTTCAACAAATCCTGTTATGTTGGTGCAATAAAGTGTTAAATAAATAAATAAATAAATTGTATATGAGGGAGCAGACTTAGATGGGCAACATCCGTGTTTTACGTACACCATCTCTTATCTACGCGTTCATTAGCATTTAAATGTGCACCAAACAAAATCAGAAAGTGTAAAGCTTCAACATTGCCACAAGTCTCATTACATACATTATAAGGGGGACTGAATACGCCGTTTGTAGGGTGAAATTGAGGGCGGAAGTGGCGATGCGCTTGCGCCCTCGGGCGTCGTTCATCCATAAATTTTAAACTTGCTCACAAACAAACATGAGAGACGTAGGAAACCTGCATAAAATTACTAGTTTTTAACTTCAGAGTAGAGGATATTTTCAATTCAACGGTATTTTGTATGTATATTATTAAGTACTTGACATCTTCATCAGTTTTAAACTCATTTTTAATCGACTTGAAAAAAAAAGAAAGTTCTATATTCGACTGTATATTTTTTCAGATTTTTCAGCATTCGACAACGGTTAGGAATTAACTTCTACATTATTTTCATACAATTTTTGTTACAATTGTAGAAGCTGTTTTTCTTTTAAGATATTTTTAAATTATATCACATAGTATGCCTAATACAAGTTATGTATCTAGTATATGTAACTCCTTCAAGTATATCAACAGATTATATATTTTTTTTAAAGTAAACACACTTATAATTTTATTGTGCACGGATTAATGACTCAATTACGAGATTATATTATACGGAATTAGACCTACAATTTTAAAATTAATGTATTTAGAGCGACGTGAGCTATGATAAATTGCCCCGACTCAAATTGCATTTATTCTAGATATTTCTATATTGTATTTTGGAATATTTCTCCGGTGTTTTAAAACATTGTTAACAAACCATAATTAACTAAGTGACTCACCGATGACCAGAACGGAAGAGTAGCCTAACCGTCCTAAGGATCATTCGATCTGTTAATGGTATTCTCGATCACAAGAGAGTTAATAGGAAATTGTAATTAATACCTACAATAATGCTGTGAAACAAATTTTAAATCATAGCCTTTAGCTTTGATAAGTTAGATATAGAATATCCATAAAAAAATGTTTTAAAGGAATCACCATACCTGTTTTATAACGAAAAAAAGCTTAAATTTTACTCCACTAAAGTAAAAATCCGAACAGTTCACTAAAATTTAAATGTAATCACTGAACAATGTCAATGTACACATAAAATATTGTTCAACACAAATATAATGAATATTTAATTTCTTTCGTACTTTCGAAGTCGAGAACGTAAACCGCGTTCCACTAGCAAGCGCGGAGTCAGTGCGTGACTAGACGAGTCGAGCTTTGGGCGGGAACTGCTAACTGTGTCTGCTGAACACAGGTGAACTGTAGTGGCGAGCGGGTGGCCGTGGGGTGGGGCCGCTACGGACCGCTACGGGCCACTGCACCACGCACGCTCATCCGATTCCCTGACTATACCTACATACGTCGCAGCGGTCAACTTAGGGGCAGTATTGCATTTTCTTCAGCAATTTATTCAAACAAACCATGCTAAAGGTGTATCATGGGCTTTCTTGATTGAATGATATCTAATGGAATAATAACTCCGCCTGTAGAAACGGTTTACGCTGGAGGAGTACCAGTGAAGGATGATATGTGAGGATAAAAACAGGTCAGTTAGTTTATTACGAATTAGTAATTCTCAAGTTTTTTTTTTTATACAACTTAGAATGGCAAACAAGCTGACGGCCCACCTGATGTAAAGTGGTAACAGTCGCCTATAAACATGAGCAGTACTATGGATATAACAGAGTATACTGTTTCGCCCATGATACCTCCCATGCGTTGCCATTCCTGAGGACTCAGGTGTTATTCCTCATTACCCTGTAAATTCACGCCATATCCCACCCTTCAAACCGAAACACAGCCATGCAAACACAACTGCTTCACGGTTGAAACACGAATGGGACAGAGGTACCCAAGCAATCGACTTTTGTACAATGTCTCCCTCTGGTGAAGAATTAACCACGATTGTTTCCAGAGGAGACTATGTAGAGAAAATAGCTAAGACATAACAATTCTTCAGAGCACTCCCCATAATAAATTTGATAGGAGATGCACAGAGATGCAACATCTCTACGCAGTTTCAGTTGGTCGAGTTGGACAGTAAGGCGCCGATTGTCAACAATTTGAACTGCCCAAATAATAATATTAGTATAGATTAGTACAAAAATCCAATACAAAAACGAAAGGGAAGAAGAAACTTTAATTTCTTAGTTACGTTTGTTATTTATGATAGAACCGAATGATAGAAGATACCTAAAATAAATATGATATAAATTTATTTCAGCAGATCTTGCAAATATATTTAAAATAAGTCATAAAAGGTAAAAATTAAAACAAAATTTCAAATACCTTGATAATGAATATTCGATAGTGGTGCCTCTGCTGAGCAATTTCAGAACTAAACTTAATGTATTTTCATTATTATAATAAAAAGCAAATATATTAGTAATATTATCTTTTTGTTATTATTTTTTCTTAAATGGAATCCAGAATGTCAATCTCTAGAGCGACGCCGTTTCTATCTTGCAAACTGCAATAGATAATATTAAAATAACTGATACTATTTGTCTACGGAGTTCATAAAATTTATACAATGAATGTCAAATTTGGATGTCAAATCATAGACAAACAAATAGATATTTTTGTTTATGTTAGTGACAAGTCCATCAAGTTGTCATTTAGCTATTATTTTGTTTTTGTAAAATTAATAAGAATCTTACAAAGTATTCTTAGATTTAATATAATGTAATGTCTTATCTTTCCTCTTGTATACATTTTATGATACACCTGCCTTTCTCTGGTAGTTGAGGCCGGGTGTTATTTTAATATACTATAATGGCCCAGTCAAGTGCAATGAACTCTGATAAAAAATCTACCGACCTGGAGGTAAAGGAGGATCGCGAGGATATAAAGAAGGAAGAAATTGTAGCGGTGAAGCCTGAACCACACGAGTGCATAGTATGTGTGACGCATAACCTCGAGACTTTCGACATATTTAACACGAACACGGCTGCATCCGGCATTTCTCTACACAATTTTTTATCTAAATTCTCCAATTCCGCTTTAGCGGACTGCCAAAATTCCACCAAATTTGTATGCAAGAGTTGTTTAGATCTTATTAACGTATTAGAACAGGCGGAATTGGAATATGTAAAACTAAAAGAGACTTTTGAAGCCATTATTAGTAAAAATCCACTGTTCGACAGCTCTGTACAGCCAATTAGCTTAGATACTGTGAAAAATGAAACCCTACGAGAACATCCAGATGATTCATATGATATCTTTGATGATATGGACTCAGAGGATGAACCATTGTCTATGACCAAAAAGAAGAGACATGGGAAAGTTGATAAACGGAAAAAGAAATTATCTGGCTCAATTATTAAACGCAAACCACGTACCAAACAAAATGATGAAAGGTAATTCATTCAATATTTGGAGCTTAGTTAGTAAGCAGTAGTTGTCACACTTGGCAGGTAGGTTGGCAACCACAGTTAGATTTTTGGTAATGTCTTAAGAGGAATGCTGCTGCTCATCCTTGGTCTATTAAGTTCCCTTAGTCACCTCTTACGACACCCACAGGAAAGAAAGGGGTGGCCTATTCTATGCTGGGACTACATGGCAAAGTAATATTTAAACCTAATCCATTTGCATAGATTTAACAGGTGATTATACCAATATATTAATATTTCAGCTGGGAATGTACAGAGTGCTTTGCGAGAGGTACAACTGGGGGCACAGTGGCAGCTATGGCCCACAAGCTGGCAGTGCACTCATTGGAGGAATCTAACAGTGTCCTTAGAGATATGAAGAAAGAAGATGCAGATGGGTATAGTATAGTCCCAACTATTTTACTAATATTGTATAATGGGAAGAGTTTGTAAATAAGTTTTAATGTTTAATACACAATTATGCTTAAATGACTGAATGGATTTTTATTAAATTTAATAAAAAGATTTTAATTGGTGCAGACAATGGAATGGCAGTCTTTTTTTTATCCCTTCAAGTGGTGGCCGCCATTTTATACATTTCTGCTTAACTGGTGAATTCCTGCTGTTGCGCCCACTATAAGACAATATTATTGATGTGCCTAAAATTATTTCTACACTATTCTAACACACTACAATGGGGGGGAAGGGATTGTTAGTAATGGAGACTGAGAATCCTATTGCTAGCAATATAACCAACCAGGTCGACCTCCGCGGGGTTCTCCCTGGAAACTATCATGGTAAATACCTGATGAATTCATCATGATGTGCTAACTGGCCTGTTTTCATTCTCATCTAACACCCTTCACTGGTGAAAAAAAATACACTACAATGTGATATCATTAAACAAAGACACTACTGACAGTCAGTATACTAAAAAAAAGGTTCATTCATATAGAAATTTCATTCTCCGAGTTCATTTGCACATTGGTGTTAACTCATTCAAAACGATTGTGGTTTTTTCTATTTTTCAACTGTTTTATAATATTTTGAAGAGAATTTAGTGCAAAGGAAGATGGATAAGTAAGTAATACACATAATTGTTAGTTACTTTTTACGTTATTTGCTTAAATTGTAGTGAAAATGCAATAACTGTAACTATATTTACTTAAGTTGTAAATTGATTTAATTTTAACAACATTTGATAAAATATTGAAATAAATCATATGCCATACTATGCTGTCCAGAGCAGGATGCGTGCCACATGGCGGTTGGTAGGCAATACCAACTGATGCGGCCATTTTAATTGATCACTAGATAATATGTATGAGATATATAGAGAGAAAATATACAGATTTTTTATATTAATATGTTTGCACTTTGCACGAAAATATTTAAATAGCACAATGGAATACATGAAATATCAGTATACTTAGGAGTATGAGTTCTACCATGGCACCAGTGTTGCAGAAACAGCTCGAAGGAAGAATGATGTGTACGGCGCTGATGTCGCAAAAGAAAGCATGGTATGTTTTTGTTCTGGAAATAATGACCTTCAGAACCAACCTTGTGTTTGACGGAGACTAAAGTGGAAAATGAAGAGTTAAAGGCAATTGTGGAAGGGGATCCATTACAAAGTACTTCAGAGATAACTGTAGGCTTCGGAGTAAGTGATAAAACTGTATTATCACTTACTATTATATAATCCACTTGAAGCAAATCGGGAAAGTAAAAAAATGGATGGGTACCTCATGAATTGAGTGAATCGAACTTGCAAACACGCATCGACTGCTGTGTTACTTTACTCAACCGACACAATAATAAAGGGATTTTAAACTGAATCATTACTTGTGATGAACAATGGATACTGTACGATAATCGGAAGCGCTCGTCGCAATGGCTGAACCCAGATAAATCCTGCCCTAAACGAAAATTTACTTGGAAAGAGCTTGCAACATGAGCTATTTTATACGATCAGCGCAGAGCCACTCCTTGGGCCGATTTTTGTAAACCTTCTATTGATAAAAAATTGTATAGAGTGATGCATGTTTTCCAGTCTATGTCCTTGAATATTTTATACTTTTGTAAATAAAATGAAATTATAAACGAAAAATTGTGTTGTTTATTAATTATGCCAGATTTTATACCGAAAATTGGGAAAATTTCATTATATCTACTTTTAACGTGGGATGTTATTTTATTTTTACACCTTAAACATAATGTCTGTATAAAATTTTATAGCATATTTTACCATAATTCCAAAATGTATGATAAGTTCAAAAATAAATTAATGGAGAACACCTTGATACCAGATGGTGTCAAGGTGTACCGCCAAATGTACATAGAATTTTACTGTGCATTAAAGTTTAAATAAATAAGTGTATAAGTTTCATACAAAAAAAAAACACAGTTTAATTTCAGTTTTTAAAAAAAGCATATTTTAGAACGAAGAACTTCCCCATTGAACCTCTGCCACATGTGCCAAAATGTGCAAAATGTATCCCGCCAGAAGTAGCAATTTTTTTATTGTCCCGCTGCGGGAATTTGCCACACGAAGGGTTATAGATATTTATAATTATTAAATGTAAGCTGCTGAACGGCTATTAGTTACATACACATACGTAACTACATCTATGTTCTTCAATTATTTAGGTTTTCTATTTAAAGTGAAGTAAATATCATTAGGTAATCCATTTACCACAGGGAGACTTTGTACAAAACTCGTTTGCTTGGGCACCTTTGTCCAATTTGTGTTTCTACCGTGAAGCAGTTGTGTTTGCATGGCTGTGTTTCGGTTTGAAGGGTGAGATATGACGGTGAATTTACAGGGTACAGAGGAATAACACCTGAGTCCTCAGGAATGGCAACGCATGGGGGGTATCATGAGTGAAATAGTATACTCTGTTATGTCCATGGTACTTCTCATGTCTATAGGCGACGGTTATCACTTTCCATCAGGTGAGCTTTCAGCTTGTTTGCCATTCTAAGTTGCATAAATAAAATAAAAATAAATAAATCTTATTTTAATGTAATCATTCGTCTTTGTAAAACGATTATACTGAAATTATTATAACAACTTACTAAACTAAATAAATAAATAAACTATTTGATCTGCTTAGTTATTAATGATACTAAAACAACATTGATAATTATTTCAATTGGTGTTAATGTTGTTATTTCCAGATCGCACAATGGTTTAGAGAATATACTAAAAATTGAATATGAGGAGCTCAACGAAAATGATGACAGTTCTACATTTATGCCAGACAGTGAACCGAGCAATGAAAACAATCACAGTAAAAGAAAAATGTTAGTTGGCAGGTGTCTCAAAAGTAAAGGTGTGTCCGCACAGACGAAGGCCAAGAAGAAAGAGGCTAAAGTTCTGCACCAGTGTGACCAGTGTGATGCTAAGTATTCTTCTTTGGGTGAGTTACACATTTGTTGTTGTTAGTTACACATTGTTACACAATGGTGTTATCATGAGGTTCTGTTTGTTATAGATGTAATTAATAAGTAATTTAATACTTCATTGTTGTTATTTTCTGTTATACTTATGAACCCTAACTTTTTGAATTATATATTTAGTACATGATAGTTAAAAATATAGAAATTGGCTTTCTTAGCCACTTCTGTATCTTCCCACATACATTCCTGAACTATGTATATTAGTAATCAGTAGTAAACTTTTAAAAATAATATTAAAGTGAAATTATTTTTCATCTAGTTACTTTTAAGCTTTCACTAACAGTTAAGTACAAACCTTGCAAGGAAACCTTTTGCAATCTCATCAGCTTCTGTCCTAATATGTGTTACTGGGAGGGAGGGGAGGGATTGTTAGTAAAAGGGACTAGCAGCCCCATTGCTAGCAATATACTCTGGCAGGTCAATCTCCATTTGGTTCCTCCTGAAGACCATCATGATAAATTTTTATAAATTTATCACAATGAACCAACTGGCCTGCTTTATCTTTATGTTTCATCCCTCACTAATGCCCCGCCAATGATATATCAAAAACACAGCTGAGGTTATGATTAAATCATCATTTTATTTTTATATACCATGAAGGTGTCAAACAAGCATACAGCCCGTCTAATGGCGAATATTTACTGTAGCCTATGGCAACACAAGGGGTGTCTTGTGCATGTTGCTAACCTTGAAGAAACCGGGGGGAAAGGGATTGTTAGTAATCGGGTTTAACTGCCCCATTGCTAGTAATATACCCTAACAGGTCGACCTCCACGTGGTTCCCCCTGGAAACCATCCTGGTTAATTCTAGTGGAATTATCTCGATGGGCTAACTGACCTGCCTTTTCATCCTCACAAATCATCTCTCACTGGTGCCCTGTCCGTGTATACTGATAGCGCGGGCATGGTTACCGTTTCATTATCATCCATTAAAAAAAAAACTTTGAAGAAACCTTAATATACCATTTTTGAAGAACCTTCTACTGTACTCTCTAGGGAAAATCTGTATAAAAAAAATATCTTCAGCTACTTTTATAAGTCATAACTTATACAGTTATTCCTTATCATGATAGAATAGAATAGGAATACTGGTTTTTTGAAATAAGTTTCCAAGTAGTATATATGATGCGTTTGTTGCAGCACGACTCAAGCAACATAAGCAGAAACACGACGGCTCGAAGCCACCGTACATCTGTGAGGTGTGCGGCGCTCACTACAAGCATAAACGCGCCTGCGACATACATATCGCGCTACACAAAGGTCTCTCTCTCTCTCTGACACTATGTTTCGTTCACATGCTGGTTTATTTATTTAACTCTTTATTGTACCATAAACAAAAATTTACAATGAGAATTCTAGTGAAGTACAGTAACATAAATACAGATTGAAATATATACATAATGGTACAAAAGGCAGAGGGAGACTTTGCACAAAAGTCGATTGCTTGGTTACCTTTGTCCTATTCATGTTTCTACCGTGAAGCAATTGTGTTTGCATAGCTGTATTTCGGTTTGAAGGGTGGGATATGGTGTGAATTTATAGGGTACAGAGGAATAACATCTGAGTCCTCAGGAATGGCAATGCATGTGAGGTACCATGGGCGAAACAGTATATACAGCCATGCAAACACAACTGCTTCACGGTAGAAACACGAATGGTTCAGAGGTGCCCAAGCAAACGACTTTTATACAGTCTCCTTTTACAAACTTTCTGGCTTTTCAGAGTTGTATAATTTATTATTTCAGGTATTAGTGATTGGAAGTGTGAGGAGTGCAATAAACTGTTTCCGTCTAAAGGTGCGTTGCAGAGGCATAATAATATTCACACAGGAAAACTAAACTATCAGGTGAGTGGTCATGGTTGTTTGTGATACAGCTAGGTGGTGGATACTATTGTGCCCTGTTTTTTGAAGTATTAAATAATTTCCTCAACCTCACAAGGGTATATTGTTAGCAATGAGACTAGCAGTCCGCATTACTAACAATCCCTTCCTCTGTCTACAGGTTGAATCAGCACATTATTAGTCATACAGTATACGAGGGCTGCCTTTTAGGTTTTGTCGTTTGAAATAATTTAATAGATTATTACTATTTATTGTTCTTCAAAGAATTCTCCGTGATATTTAATACACTTACATGCGTTCAAACCAGAGGGCCTACTATGAAACGTTTTCCGAAATTTCGGAGTCAAACGAAACACAAGTTTGATGTTAAAATTACATAATACATGCCGTTTGAAATTATTAAAAATGTTAAAATATTGTTCCTTTGGACTTTTATGATAGGATATATGACAAACGAAATGTTAAACTCCATTTATTGGTCCGATTTTGGTATAAACAAAAACACGAAATTGAGTCCGAAATTTCGGAATTTCATTTCATGGTAGACCCGCAGTTTTTAAAACATTAATTCCACTCTAAAGTGGCGGTAGTCAAAAGGGCCTAATTCTGTGCGTCAACATATTCGGGTGAGCTGAAACGTTGACTACGAAGACCTTGCTTAATTGTGGGAAACGTAAAAAAATTGTTAGGGCTGTAAAGCGCATGATCTAAAATTTCAACATTTTGGGTACTCAAAAACATCTTTGTGCGGGCGGTGTGCGAACTTGCATTATCATGGTGGAGTATCATACAACGTCTTGAATTGTTTTTTTCGAAATTCGGTGATGACTTGTTTCAAACAAACAGTGTTATACTCGTACCAATCAGCGGTAACCGTTTTGCAATCTTCTAGTACAATAGTGGCGACGTGACCACCCTTTGCCACAAACGAGGCAATCATTTTTTTCGAAGTGCTCCATGAGTTTATGACTTTGGTCGGTTTTAGCTTATCCTGGAAGACCCAGACAGTTGACTGCTGCTTAGAATCTGGATCATAAGCATATATCCAAGACTCATCACCACTAACCATATCGTAAACATGCTCTAACTCTCCTCGGTTGAATCGCTGCAGTTTTGCAACACCAACTAACACGGGCTGTTTTTTGGTCATCGCTAAGCAAATGTGGTATCCAACGAGAGATCAACTTTCTTACGCCAAGTTCTTCGTGCAATATTTTTTTGAAAGTGGTCCGTGAAATGCCCACGGATACCTCTATTTCATGGTGTGTCAAATGACGATCTTCGAGGATTAACTTCCGCACGGCTTCGATATTCTCTTGCATCATGGCGGTTTTTGGAAGACTTTCACGTGGCTTGTCACTGAGGCTAGAGTGCCTGTGTTTAAATTCTAAATACCAGCGTTCTACAGTCCTAAGACATGGTGCTGCATCACTAAATACAGAAGTGATCTCCTCAAAGCACTGAAGTCGCGATATTTTCCTTTGAAAGTTGTAGAAAATTATCGCACGCAAATATCTCTTCCATTTTTACAACCGACTTGTCACATTTGAATAGACGATACAATAAAACTATTTAATCTGAAAATATTTCTTTGTTTTCGAATTCAAAAAGATGAAAATGCCATTAGTTTTTTTTAATAATTGTGGGAGGTTGGCAAAGGACACGACTTAAAAGGCAGCTTTACGTATTTTTTTTTTTATCGTGGGGAAATGCCTCATGCAGACCCATATGCCCCGGGGGAGGCGTGTGGGTACTGCCGGACTCCTACCGGCTAAAACCACCACGGCATCCCTCGCCGCGCCAAAGTGTTGGGGACCCGGGTTCCCTTTCGAAATCTACCGAGCCCCAACAGCGTTGGCCCGCACCGGCTTGTGGGCCCCAACTCAAATATGGAGCAGGCACCTGATGTTAAGCGCCCGCCTACTCTTCAATGGGAAGCGCGCGGGGATACGCGCGCGACTTACCAGGGCCATGTTGATTGGGGTGGGACCGCCCCCGCGGTCGTTACTCCAGCCCTTTGGCGAACGGCGGCTAGCCGCCCTGATCGCCGGAGCAGAACGTTGGACCTTGGTTCGTGTCCTCTCTCCCGCGGCCTGTAGAGGGGGCCTGAATGGCTGGCCGCTTCAGCTGCTTCTTTTTGGGTGGGGTGCAAGTTAGCTTTACGTATTTAGTACAAGGTCTGCTTAATTTACGTCTAGACAACGTTGGTGCTACATAAAATGACCAACCGTATTAATAGGATTAGCGAACAATTGAAGGGAAGCGGGAATAGTGTCCGTCGAATCAAATATATATGAGAGGATACAGTGACGGCAGGTGGTTGCGTTGTCGGCAGTGCGACCTGTGCGGCAAGTCGTTCATCCACACGTCGTCGTTCAAGATGCACAAGCTGTCGCACTCGGGCGTGAAGCCGCACGCGTGCGACGTGTGCGGGCTGGCGCTGATGACGCGCTCGCACCTCAAGCGGCACAAGCGCGTGCACTCGGGAGAGAAGCGGCACGAGTGCGCGCTGTGCGGCAAGCGCTTCTCCGAGCGCTACAACCTGGTGGCGCACCTGCGCAGCCACGACGCCGCGCCGCCGCCGCCGCTGCCGCGCCGCCGCCTCTTCCGCTGCGGCTTCTGCCCCGACCGCTTCGAGCGCAGGTGCGTACAGTCGCTGCCCGCCGCGACTATACGCCGTACTCGTAGCGAACTCACTGGCCGCCTCGCGTGCGCAGGTACATGCTGGAGCGGCACACGTCCGTGGTGCACGGGCGCGCGCTCGAGCGGCCGCCGCCCACGCCGCGCAACACCATGAGCAAGCTGCTCAAGGCACAGGCGCAGGCCGCGCGCCCGCCGCCCGCCGCCGCAGGTACAGCCCCGCACACTGCACACTGCACACTGCACACTGCACACTGCAGGCCGCGCAACACCATGAGCAAGCTGCTCAAGGCACAGGCGCAGGCCGCGCGCCCGCCGCCCGCCGCCGCAGGTACAGCCCCGCACACTGCACACTGCACACTGCACACTGCACACTGCAGGCCGCGCAACACCATGAGCAAGCTGCTCAAGGCACAGGCGCAGGCCGCGCGCCCGCCGCCCGCCGCCGCAGGTACAGCCCCGCACACTGCACACTGCACACTGCACACTGCACACTGCAGGCCGCGCAACACCATGAGCAAGCTGCTCAAGGCACAGGCGCAGGCCGCGCGCCCGCCGCCCGCCGCCGCAGGTACAGCCCCGCACACTGCACACTGCACACTGCACACTGCACACTGCAGGCCGCGCAACACCATGAGCAAGCTGCTCAAGGCACAGGCGCAGGCCGCGCGCCCGCCGCCCGCCGCCGCAGGTACAGCCCCGCACACTGCACACTGCACACTGCACACTGCACACTGCAGGCCGCGCAACACCATGAGCAAGCTGCTCAAGGCACAGGCGCAGGCCGCGCGCCCGCCGCCCGCCGCCGCAGGTACAGCCCCGCACACTGCACACTGCACACTGCACACTGCACACTGCAGGCCGCGCAACACCATGAGCAAGCTGCTCAAGGCACAGGCGCAGGCCGCGCGCCCGCCGCCCGCCGCCGCAGGTACAGCCCCGCACACTGCACACTGCACACTGCACACTGCAGGCCGCGCAACACCATGAGCAAGCTGCTCAAGGCACAGGCGCAGGCCGCGCGCCCGCCGCCCGCCGCCGCAGGTACAGCCCCGCACACTGCACACTGCACACTGCACACTGCACACTGCAGGCCGCGCAACACCATGAGCAAGCTGCTCAAGGCACAGGCGCAGGCCGCGCGCCCGCCGCCCGCCGCCGCAGGTACAGCCCCGCACACTGCACACTGCACACTGCACACTGCAGGCCGCGCAACACCATGAGCAAGCTGCTCAAGGCACAGGCGCAGGCCGCGCGCCCGCCGCCCGCCGCCGCAGGTACAGCCCCGCACACTGCACACTGCACACTGCACACTGCACACTGCAGGCCGCGCAACACCATGAGCAAGCTGCTCAAGGCACAGGCGCAGGCCGCGCGCCCGCCGCCCGCCGCCGCAGGTACAGCCCCGCACACTGCACACTGCACACTGCACACTGCACACTGCAGGCCGCGCAACACCATGAGCAAGCTGCTCAAGGCACAGGCGCAGGCCGCGCGCCCGCCGCCCGCCGCCGCAGGTACAGCCCCGCACACTGCACACTGCACACTGCACACTGCACACTGCAGGCCGCGCAACACCATGAGCAAGCTGCTCAAGGCACAGGCGCAGGCCGCGCGCCCGCCGCCCGCCGCCGCAGGTACAGCCCCGCACACTGCACACTGCACACTGCACACTGCACACTGCAGGCCGCGCAACACCATGAGCAAGCTGCTCAAGGCACAGGCGCAGGCCGCGCGCCCGCCGCCCGCCGCCGCAGGTACAGCCCCGCACACTGCACACTGCACACTGCACACTGCACACTGCAGGCCGCGCAACACCATGAGCAAGCTGCTCAAGGCACAGGCGCAGGCCGCGCGCCCGCCGCCCGCCGCCGCAGGTACAGCCCCGCACACTGCACACTGCACACTGCACACTGCACACTGCAGGCCGCGCAACACCATGAGCAAGCTGCTCAAGGCACAGGCGCAGGCCGCGCGCCCGCCGCCCGCCGCCGCAGGTACAGCCCCGCACACTGCACACTGCACACTGCACACTGCAGGCCGCGCAACACCATGAGCAAGCTGCTCAAGGCACAGGCGCAGGCCGCGCGCCCGCCGCCCGCCGCCGCAGGTACAGCCCCGCACACTGCACACTGCACACTGCACACTGCACACTGCAGGCCGCGCAACACCATGAGCAAGCTGCTCAAGGCACAGGCGCAGGCCGCGCGCCCGCCGCCCGCCGCCGCAGGTACAGCCCCGCACACTGCACACTGCACACTGCACACTGCAGGCCGCGCAACACCATGAGCAAGCTGCTCAAGGCACAGGCGCAGGCCGCGCGCCCGCCGCCCGCCGCCGCAGGTACAGCCCCGCACACTGCACACTGCACACTGCACACTGCAGGCCGCGCAACACCATGAGCAAGCTGCTCAAGGCACAGGCGCAGGCCGCGCGCCCGCCGCCCGCCGCCGCAGGTACAGCCCCGCACACTGCACACTGCACACTGCACACTGCACACTGCAGGCCGCGCAACACCATGAGCAAGCTGCTCAAGGCACAGGCGCAGGCCGCGCGCCCGCCGCCCGCCGCCGCAGGTACAGCCCCGCACACTGCACACTGCACACTGCACACTGCACACTGCAGGCCGCGCAACACCATGAGCAAGCTGCTCAAGGCACAGGCGAAGGCCGCGCGCCCGCCGCCCGCCGCCGCAGGTACAGCCCCGCACACTGCACACTGCACACTGCACACTGCACACTGCAGGCCGCGCAACACCATGAGCAAGCTGCTCAAGGCACAGGCGCAGGCCGCGCGCCCGCCGCCCGCCGCCGCAGGTACAGCCCCGCACACTGCACACTGCACACTGCACACTGCACACTGCAGGCCGCGCAACACCATGAGCAAGCTGCTCAAGGCACAGGCGCAGGCCGCGCGCCCGCCGCCCGCCGCCGCAGGTACAGCCCCGCACACTGCACACTGCACACTGCACACTGCACACTGCAGGCCGCGCAACACCATGAGCAAGCTGCTCAAGGCACAGGCGCAGGCCGCGCGCCCGCCGCCCGCCGCCGCAGGTACAGCCCCGCACACTGCACACTGCACACTGCACACTGCACACTGCAGGCCGCGCAACACCATGAGCAAGCTGCTCAAGGCACAGGCGCAGGCGGCGCGCCCGCCGCCCGCCGCCGCAGGTACAGCCCCGCACACTGCACACTGCACACTGAACACTGCCGCAGGTACACCGCCCGCACGGACGCACACTGCACACTGAACATTGCCGCAGGTACACCGCCCGCACGGACGCACACTGCACACTGCACACTGAACACTGCCGCAGGTACACCGCCCGCACGGTCGCACACTGCACACTGAACACTGCCGCAGGTACACCGCCCGCACGGACGCACACTGCACACTGCACACTGAACACTGCCGCAGGTACACCGCCCGCACGGACGCACACTGCACACTGAACACTGCACACTGAACATTGCCGCAGGTACACCGCCCGCACGGACGCACACTGCACACTGCACACTGAACACTGCCGCAGGTACACCGCCCGCACGGACGCACACTGTTCACCGTGCAACACTATGAAAAAGCTACTGAAGGTATAAGAAACTTAAAAACTTGTATCAAAATTAATCCAGTAATAATATCTAAGTTATAGTAGTAAATTCCTAAAATACGATCGTTATAATTTTTTCTTTATTTATTTCTATTAAAATTTACCTTTGTAAGAGCAAATAAAAAACATTCTAATTGTAATATTTACAGATGGCGACTCAAAGGACATACGCAGCCCGGAGTCCCGCGACACACCTGTCGCATCACAGAAGTTACTCGCCCAGCTAAGTATGTATTACAATAATTTGACGACAGTTTTAAACTAACTTGTAATAACAAACAAATTGAATTGATGACTATAGTACATTACTGCAGCGGTCAGCAACTGAGGCATTGATGGACAAACGTAATCGATACGAACATATGATCCTTCCTCTCCTACTTATTTGAAAGATAGATTTCAGTACCTCAAAGACTCCCATACCCTTAATCTTCGGTCGTCTCATAATCTCCTCCTCATCACCCCGTCACATCATTCCGGATTTATGTCCAATTCTTTTACTGTCACCGCTATCAGCCTTTGGAATAAAACCCCTGTAGATCTACGCAGAGCATCAAGTAAAGATATTTTTAAAAGAAGACTTTTTAATTATTTGTTGAGTCAACAAAACCAGCTCTAGTCACAGGTTACTCAATAGTTATTATATCTTATAATGCTTTTCGTTGTTTTTATTTATGTATATATATATATATATATATATATATATATATATATATATATATATGTGTGTGTGTGTGTGTGTGTGTGTGTGTGTGTGTGTGTGTGTATATATTTCATATGTATTAGTTTATCCATATATATTAAAAGTAATGTTTATGTATTATATGTGCATTTCTTATGTGTATATTATATTTATATTGTGTATTGCCTTAATGTGTTACTACAATTGTCACATATTTTTCACCACATCTGCCCTTCATACGCTTTCTGTTTTTACCCAATGGTTAGCTGGTAGAGAATGCCATATGGCTTTAAGCTCGCCATTTGCACAAAATTTTATTGTGCAATAAAGAATAAATAAAATACATATGTATATTTATATAATAACTGAAGAAATAGATAGATAGATACTCTTTATTGTTTCCTTCAAAAGATTACAATAGTAAACTTATAAATATAAAGATATAGCATCACATTCGTTTAAAAAAAATTAGTTCTGGGATTTTTTTTACAATATGTTATATTGCAAGTAGCAACACAGAAAAAATGGCCTTTTTGATTTAAAAAAATCAAATTGTGTGACTAAATGTTGACACGTTATTAACTGTCGATGTTTTATCTTAATCGAAGAGATTTACTAGTACATAATAGTTGAGTACAATAAATATGATAGTATAAATGTGACATGTGGCCCCGTGGCGTGTTGCAGCGGCGTCGTCGTCGACGTCGGTGTCGGCGGGCAGCACGTGGTCGGCCGCCTACGCGGAGTTCAACCTGCGCGGCGACTTCCCGCACTGACCGCCGCCCGCCGCCCGCCGCCCGCCGCCCGCTGCTGCCGCGCCGCCACTATGCGGCGAAATAAACCGGTTACTATTATTTGTATCTCCTAAAACGCAGATCATATACCTCCACGTGGAGTTTCATCATCGACGCCATCATATTTTGCCGTTAATTGGCCCATGTTGAACATAGTCCTTCGTAAACTTCCATAAGAAACTGTCCTGAATCTCCTACCATCCACTCCCTCCCTGCAATGCATTTAAGATAGCGGCTCCATCTAGTGAAAGGTTGCCTTTGGAATATACAAATGCATTACAAAAATAAGCCAATTTTTCTATTAATTGTGTACATGAATAGGAATATCGTAAAGTAATCGTAACAGTTATTATTTAGTAAGTAAGAGATAGACTATATATGTTTAATATTGTAAGATTAAGTTAAAGAAAGCAATACAAAATTGTCACATTTATATTTAAAAATTAGGGCAAACGAAACTATATTTCACAATGTTATTTGTCTTTACCGATTACTGTGATTGATTTTTGACAGTAAATTTATGTATTCCTTGTCAAAATGGAAAGTGCTTATCATTTTACATAATATGTGTACTCGTATATTATACAGTATGCACAGCACATAATATATTTATTTATATTATATGTGGGAAGTCGTGGGCGGAAAATCAGACTATATTCAATGTTTTATAAATTTATTTGCTCCACAGCTCTTTTACAGGATGCGAATCCTAACGCCATCTTGTTCCAATTCCTTCGTCGACCAATCATACTTGTATCATGCATCTCTTTCACACATCATCTTTACTCTCATTACTGTTCCTTTCACACACCTTCTAGAAACATCCAATCCCACATATATGAAAAGAAATTATTATAAACCTAAAGAGAACAAACCTACTTAAATTAGAAAAATCCACCTGATTTGGGAAAATTTTAATCGAATTACTTGCAACACTGAAAATGATGGGCTTGGTTTAAAAAAATATATGTTGAACAATAAAAAAATATATTTGACTCAATAGGTCTTTTATGGGTCTGAACATTAAATGTTAATAAATTATATAATAAGATACCGAAGGATATTTTGGATCTGTCTTTTAATAAGTTTTAAACTGTCATTAAAAACTCTTATTGAACAAAGCCTATTAGATTAGACATTTGTAGTTGGTTACATCAAAAGACCGGTGTGAACAACGTGCGACTGCTTACCGCTGTTAACTAGCTAACTTAACACGAGTAGATCCGTCACTTAATACGAGAAATTGCATGTCAAAAACATAAAATCATTGGCTGCACACACTAAGCGATTGCTTTAATCACAAATGTGCATGGTGTTGCTAGATCTTGCACGACTTTTTACCAACCATGTAATATTAGACATAGTGTATTTAAATAAATACACATAATGTTAACAGAGATTTAAAAGAGTAACTGTTGAGTTTCTCGCGGGCTCTTCACAACAGATACCAACTTTCCGAATACAGCGTTCGTAAAAAAAAATACAATTTAAACGTGCTTGGAAACAAGTCTATTTGAAAAAAGATGATTGAATTTGACACTCAATACTCTATTTTGAGGTATAAGATCTAATGAAACTTAATCTTTTGACTGCTTGGCTTTTGTAGCAGTCATTACGCCCTCACTTGACTCAAATCTGCAACTTTTACTGTACTTTAATTTTTTTTTTCTCTTTGAAAATAAAAACTTTCATTTTCTGTATCTATTTTATTATATTTACTGTGTTAATGAAGGGGACAGCTGAATAAATAGGAACACTAACGTACGAACACAGGTTCAAATAAATAGAACAGATACGAAAATATTTGACACTGGAACTGGGGCGGTTCAAAGATTAAACAAGTCATAGTGATTCTTATTCAGAACATAATTCGTTTATAATTTTTTTTACAATATCATTATTTACAATATTTTTTCTCTGTTTAAGAATTGTTTTGAATAAAGTTTTGTTATTATTGTGAAATGTCAAATCTGACGTATGTCTACATCGAATGTAAGCTACACCCGTTACAGTCCAATCAGGAAGGAAGATGGACACTTTATACGACATGTGTAATCTAAGAACAAGGAATTACATAGAAGGAATGATAAAAACAACTGTAAATCATATGGTTGTTTCCTTTCTTCTTATGCAAATATAATTAGTAAAAAGAGGACGAAAGATACACCATCAGTTGCTATTTTTCTCAATTCATAGCAGGCTAGTGTAAAGAAAATGTTACACGGCCGTATAACCCTATCAAATTCAGATGCAACCTGCTTGCATACTTTCTACATAAACTGTGTCAAATATATAATCTAGTAATGTAAAATTTGTCATAGACAAATATTTGACATATCAAACATTTCCTATACACTAGCCTGCTATGAATTGAGAAAAATAGCAACTGATGGTGTATCTTTCGTCCTCTTTTTACTAATTATATTTGCATAAGAAGAAAGGAGACAACCATATGAGTTACAGTTTTTATTTTATCATTCCTTCTATGCAACTCCTTGTTCCTAGAGTTTAATATTGACATACAAGTACGGTTTCATAGATAATTAATCGTATTCATGACACGTGTAAAGTGGGCTTTTTAAAACTCAATGACTCATTGTAAATATTGAAAAGAGAGACGCCAGGAATAAATATGGCACTTTATGAGTTTTTAGTAAAAACTATTCCCATGGTTATTGTCATAATTTTTTAAACATTGTAATGAAATTGTAGGCTATGCTTGATTTTCTTATAGCGTGTAAATTGTACATAGACTTTAGTTGAATGACTGTAATGTACAGTCGCTCGACAATTATTTTTTAATAAATTAATTCATATGACACTTTTCATACATGTGTATGGTGAATTGTATGAAGTCGCAACGCGAGGAATCTTACTTTAATATTGTGCAATGCCATTTACGAAGAACAATATTATTTACAATTATTTTTATTTTAATATTTTTATTGAATAAATGTAATTTTATTATAAATATAAGTATATATAATGCTATGTAAATATTAACAGCACCGTTAGATTTGATAATTTCCTAATTTCCAATGAGAAGCACTCGAGTATTTGGTAAACATATGAGCGTTGATTGCAAAACAATTTTATTGCAATATAAAGTCTTGTTTAAACTGATGTTAAACCTAAACATGCTCATTCATTCATTTTATTTATATATAATAAAAAAAAATGCATATGGAGGATTTCATTCGTCCATTTTATTTATTTTATTTACTAGTTAATAAAGAGAATCGACTACTGAACAAGCCTCCCCCTTGAAGGGGTTTTGCCAGTAGTTGCCATGCTTGGCAGGCGGATTGGCAACCGCTGTTAGGTTTTGGAGATGTTTGAAGAGCGATGCTGCTGCCCATCCCTTACCCTCCCTTAGTCGCTTATGACACCTGCAGGAAAGGAAGACGTAGCCTGTTCTATGCCAAGAACACATGGGAAAATAAAGATAATAAAATGACGCAAATACTAAAATTTTATAAAAAATATTTGAACAATTTTAATGTATGAATTGGCACTATTTGTCAAGGAAAATTGCATGTAACCCATTTAGCGATTACTAATCGAAAATGGTATTGCCATATCGTCACCTTTATGGTAAACTTACGAAACTGAAAAAGACACTTTACAGGGGAACGTTTTGAAACATTAGAATGCAAATGACTTGTGACAGAAGACTGCTGTAAAAGATCATGCTAACATTTTAGTTTTAAAATCCTGTTTTTTATTAAATGTGCTTAATTAATTATTATTATATTACAAGTATCAAAAATAAATGCATATTCATTACTTTGCACCTTCATACATGAGAGTTCCTAGGTACTGAGTTATACAACAGCAAATCTACGAAAGTGGCAGTTTCGTAAGTTGCCAAAGAAAATCATTTATTTTAATATCTGGCAAACTAACGAAAGTGCCACTTTCGTAAATATACCAAGGTACAAATCACGTGTTTTGGAGAGAACTTCAGTTTAAATAACAACGTTATAGCAATCATTCATGTAAAATAACTAAATTTGGATTGAAAAATTGATAAAATAATTATTGAAATTTTCAAATTAAAGTGTTTATTATAGAAAATACTATAAAAATATGCTAAGTAAGTTTACTTTGGGTATATCACAAAAATATGGAGACTCGAGGTACTCGATTTCTTCAACCGTTCGAGATAGATATTTGGAAATAAGCCACAATAAGTAGTATGACGCAAAATGTAGAATTCTAAATAAATGTCAAATTTGACATAACTGCAGATTCGTAAATTTTCCATAGAGGTGACTATATATTGTAACTTTTTTTTTTTTATAATTAACAGCGGTTGCGCTGTGCTTGTTAAATAGATATACGTTCTATTATAAATACCGTAAATCTTAATTTATATAGATAGAGCATCGAGCTTTAAAAACGGGTTAACTTTTTGTCAGCTAATTGTCAAATTAGCCGACTCATTTTTTTATGAGTGTTCTATATACAATGCATCTTGACGTGTTTTTTAATAAATAAGTGCTTACGCATTAAAACAGAAATTATAAGACAAAATAAATGTAAAAGTTATAAAGGAATCACTTATAACTATTTATCACGCAAAATTGTATGGAAAAGTTGACCCGCTTTTTGGAGCAATTGTATGGACACACTCTGTCTATATAATCTAAGCCGTAAATATATAAAAGTTTTTTTTTTAATTATATCTTTATGTCTATTGACTACTATTGCACAATTGGCACACTGTAACTAAAACCACTGGCAACCAAACAAAAACGTCTTATCCAAATTATGCTGTACTATTTACTGTTATAATTCTATTCTAATTTGCCATATGAATTAATTGTCTAGGTGTTTTCTAAATATTTGAATGTGTTTCCATGAAATTATTATAATTTACAATTTTATTATCCATTTAGAAGAGTGTAAGTTATATACAAATATGTATTTTTATACTTATTGACATGTTAACGATGTACTACATGTACTTTATCACGTAACAGTAGGTAAGTATGATTGTAAACTCTTTGTTTCTCGCCCAACTAGACTCGACTGAATTGTGTTTAATTTTATAAACGGTCGATATTAACAGTTACTTGTATTATAATTAAATAAATACATTGTTTTTTTATTAAACGTTTCTTAATTTGAAAAATAACAAGCCTTAAATCCGTTATTTTTTATTATTTTTTACTTCGGTAGTGGTTAAAGTGTGGCAAAGTCACATCAGGCCCTCTAGACAAGTGGCAAGCGAATTCTTCAATGGAATCGACATCGCTAGCGAGTCCGTGGGATAGAATGAGATAGCAACGCCAAATGACTCATTCCATATTTAAATTGTATATTCTATATTTTCAATATTTTGATAATGCGTGATAATGGAATGGTGATCCCGCCTACGCTAACGGTATACCCTGGCTGGGCACCAGTGACGGATGACCGGTGAAAATGGAAAGGCATGTCAGTTAGCCCATTGTAATGAATACACTTGAGTGTCACCACAATAGTTTGCAGGGCGGACCGCGAGGTCCCCCCCCCCTCCATACACACAGTGTTGCAGGCATCCATAGACTACAGTGGCCGTTTATCTTGCGTTTATCATCATTATCTAAAAACAAGGAATTACATAGAAGGAATGATAAAATAAAAACTGTAACTCATATGGTTGTCTCCTTTCTTCTTATGCAAATATAATTAGTAAAAAGACGACGAAAGATACACCATCAGTTGCTATTTTTCTCAATTCATAGCAGACTAGTGTTTGGCAAAAATTTTTGTTTATTTACATTACTATATTAATATTCGACACAGTTTATGTATAAAGTATACAAGCAGGTTGTATCTGAATTTAGTAGGGTTATACGGCCGCATTTTTTTTTTACAACACAGGGGGCAATAGAGCATGCGGCTCAGCTGATGGTAAGTGACTACCGCTGCCCATGATCACCCACAACACCAGCGGCATTGCAGGTGTGCTGCCGGCCTTTTAAAAAGGAATATACTCTTTTCTTGAAGGTTATGTTTTCGTATCGGTTCGGAAATACTGCTGCTGGAAGTTGATTCCAAAGAACGGTTGTGCGTGGAAGAAAGTGCCTTGAAAAACGCACGGTGGAAGACCGCTCGTCCAGATGATTGGGATGAAACTTTAGTTTGTGGCGGGTTGTACGGTGGTGAAAATCAGCAGCAGGTATCAGTCTGAACACTCCTCATGATAAATTCCCTAAAAAGGATTAAATTGGACAAGATTTTGTTCACCCCAGATCGAAACTTGATGGAGTGAAGTTTCGATTTCAGACACAAGTCTATTCCGGTACTCATCGGTATGTGCCCGCGAGATCTTTGCATGACCGGTATATAATGTATCTCCTGTACTGTCGTCTGCATAGCAATGAATATTACTTATCTGTAACATATCATTGATATGCAGAAGAAACAGAGTCGGAAATAGTACACAGCCTTGCGGGACACCAGCATTCAAAGGTTTTAAATCAGAGCATGCTCCGTCGACTACGTCCTTAATGCTACGTTCCTTGAGAAAACTGGCGACCCAAATGCACAGTCTCGCAGGCAACTCAAATAAAGGTAGCTTTGAAAGCAGCACTCTGTGCCACACCCGATCAAAGGCCTTCGCAATATCCAGATTAACAGCTAAGGCCTCTCCCTTACTCTTGATTGCCACTGCCCATCGGTGTGTTAAGTAAGCTAAAAGATCACCGGCCGAACGTCCCTGTCGAAAGCCGTACTGGTGATCACAGATCAGTCGGTGCTCTTCTAGGTACCGGAGCAGTTGACGGTTAATGATGGATTCCATAACCTTCGAGAATAAGGAAGTGATAGCTATGGGCCTATAGTTAGTTGGATCTGAGCGATCTCCCTTTTTAGGGATCGGATGCACCAGAGCAGTCTTCCAAAACTTTGGGACTATGCCCGATGAGTAGCTAAGCCGAAAAAGACGCGTAAGAACCAGAGCCAACTCTGGTGCGCACGTCCTAAGCACAATTGGAGGAATACCATCAGGCCCACTCGACTTATGGATTTCGAGGGAGAAAAGTGCTCTACGCACTGAGCTATGCGTGAATTTAATATCAGGCATAGAGCTCCTACAACACGAGATGGTCGGTGGTGGTTTCTCCCCGTCATCGAATGTCGAGTTTGACGCAAAGACGGATCCAAGAAGATCGGCCTTTTCTTTAGCGTTCAGGGCCAACGAGTCGTCATCCGTATAACATTTTCTATACACTAGCCTGCTATGAATTGACAATTTTATCACTCCTTCTATGTAATTCCTCGTTCTTAGCATCAGTTCGCTGTATGCATCTTTACCACCTTTGTAGTATAAAAAAAATAGAATAATTTTAATTCTTTATTCTCTCTGTTAAATTCTGTTATATTCACAGACAATAATGATTCTCTTTTTTCTTTCTCTTGCTCGCTCCTACAGTAAAATGAATGTTACTGTCTTTTTCTACCACGTGTAACAATACTCTATGGACGAGTGACGCGCACTCACTCGCACTAGTACGCCATATTGATAAGCTGCATGTTGAATTTGCGTTAAACACTGAAAATTTGATAGTTTTTATCACTAAAATTGTAAAAAAAAGATACCTACCTATTTGTGTATAAACACTTCAGTAATGTGTATTTAAAAAATACGCGTTGCTGGAGTTATTTAGAGTTATAAAACAATATTCTATTATACAGAGACCTTGAAATAAGGTATTGTTTTTCTGATTTACAGTAAGTGTAGGATATGATTTTAATATTTCATGTGCTTTTGTAAGGGGGCCGCATTGAGGTCTACGAGACTTAACTGTGTTTAATGATGACAATTATATTATATATTGTTTCAGTTTCGTTAAGGACGAATAATTATGTAGAGTCTGGGTTTTAAATATTAAATAAAGGAGTTAAAATTCAATCAAAACGTAACATGTATGCTGTGTTGGAAACATTTTGAAAAGCGTGTTCATAGTGAAGTTTAGCAATATTTATAATAACAGTGTAAACTTTTTACTCTTTTTACTAATTAGATTTACATAAGAAAGGAGGCAATCGTATGATTTACAGTTTTTATTTCATCGTTCCTTCTATGTAAATCTTTGTTCTTAGGTCCTACCATTGTTTACCAATTTGGCAACACTGGACGATCATGATAGTGAGCTCTTGACACTGACACTCGACTCTATAGTCTCTCTAATAGTCTAATCTGTGCATTCGACAACAAGACTTGACTGGACGCTCACTTTGTCTACAACATAGTGTTATTGTTGTTTGTTATTTATTTATTTTTTAAAAATGTTTGATACATCTGAAAATAATATAATAATTCGAGATGCAAGAAAGGAGGATATGCGAGCAGTGGCTAAAATGATACAGGTTAACGATTTAAAATGTTTAATATCGTAAAGTAACTGCTTTCTTTGTTCAACAAAAATTCATTTTGATAAATTTAACGTCCATTTGCATTTTTATTTTTTACATCACAACGTGGTTATTATTTTATTTTTTTACAAAATTCACATCTATTATTATTATAGCTTTATTTTTGTATGCTTTATAGGAATGTTTTTTTCAATATTACCGAAAGTTTTTTTTATATGTTTTATTGTACGGACCCCCATGGGTAAAAACCTCTACCATTATATTCCAGCCATTACGATCCGTAGCAGCTTCCATCTATTTCCTGCCACTTTCATGATTTCGTCAACCTTTTTCTTTGTCTTCCAATGCATCTTTTACGTGTAGAACGTAGCCATTTTAACGTGATCTATCTCATGCTCGTACTTAATTATATGCCTTGCCCATCTCCGTTTCTGTTTTAGGCCGTACTGGAATGCAAGGTAAGGTATTATTTGTCAATTCAATGTTTTTAAAGTTTGTTTAGTGTTGTAAGTTAGTTAAAAGTATTAAAGAAACCTTTATTGTAATAAAGTTTTATTTTTCTACTGTACAGGAACATGCAAATCTTCAATTAATGCAGAATGAACCCAAACTGACTGTAAAAGGTATGTAAAATTATTGCTTTGCATAGATGTACACAATAGATAGACCATTTTAGGTGATTAAACGTTAGGTAATTATTTTTGGTATGAATCATTGCATGACTGCAATAATGATTCATAGCAAAAATATGAGTGTGAAAGATGTGAGTAATAGATAGTATATAGTAATAATAGTAGATATATGTCAATATCTGTGCTTAGATTGGAATGAGTAGCATAATATAATAAAAAGCCCTAGTGATACCTACTATCGATATGAAAATATTTGGTTTACGTATAGATCCCAATTTGCATGTTTCATCAAGTGGATTATCAGCTTATTTGTTATTACCAGTAGTACCTATGTGAATTGTAGTAGTTTTTTTTAATAGATGATAATAAAATAGTAATGCCACCTGTGCTTATGGTATGCTAGTCATACACCAGTAAGGGATGAAAGGTGAGAATGAAATTGTTATAGTAGTAATGCTCATTAAAAAAAAGTTAATTACTTTTTATGTACACAAATATTTTTTTATCACCACAGAGCTAGAATATGATGGGTTTGAAAGACAACCACCTGCATTCAGATGTAAGATCGCTGAGGACCAAGCAGACAGTGTGAACTCGCAAGTTGGATATGCATTATACTTCCCAACCTATTCCGCTTGGTACGGTGCCTCCATGATGCTGCAGGACCTGTATGCACAACCTGAAGTGCAGCGGTACGATGTGCGTGAAAGGCTCTTTGACGCTGTAGCTAAGGTATCATTATAATCTGACTTATTTCAATATGTGGTATATTTTTTTTAATGCTCTAAAGACGAACACTCAGTAACTATATTCTAACTCACTTATACACAGTAATTATTTTTATGTGACTTAGACCAGCAAATAAAGTACTCACCAAATTTAAAATGGTAACTGTCTCCTATAAATATGAACATCACCATGTATGTCATCGAAACGCCCGCGGTATCACTCATTTGTTGATATATTTTATGCTATAGATAGATACTTTATTGTTTCCTCCAAAAGATTATAAAAATAAACTTATTATAAATATAAATAATTACAAGAAATAATCACAATGAGAAAACAATGGGCAACCTTATCGTTAAGAGCGATCTCTTCCAGGCAACCTTTGGATGGAGAGAAGTAATTATAAACAATTTGGTGGGAGGCACGATGAAAAATTTTGTTAGTTCTAAATATGGGAGATATGATACATATAATAATATAAATATTATCCCTACTCATTTTTCGGCTTTTATATGCATGTATGTATTTTGTATGCATTTATTTGCATGCATGCAAGTATAAATATGTGTGTGTGTGTGTGTGTGTGTGTATGTATATATATAATAATAATGAATAGGGATAAAGAGTATCTATCTATCTATATGCACAAGTGAGTCTGTTATATTTAAAAAGATATTCTTCACAGGAAGCAGTTACGAGCGGTAGTTCCTGTCTAGACTTCCATTTACTAGCGTGGGATCGTTCTAATATAATCTATCAGGGGAAAGGTGCTCAAAACATAACCAAATCGGAGCAGTGGTGTTTCTATCGTCTCAGCGGGCAGGAGCTGCGAAAAGCCGCGCAGTCCGTCACCGAAAATCCATAACAAACACAATGCGTGCTCGAAATATGTATTTTACATAGTAATGGTACAATTTATTATATTTCCGTAATAATACAGATTATTATGTTTACATATGTTTCCGTTACTATAGCCTATATAACTACTATTGTAAACTAATATGTAAAATTGTAAACTAATAAACTAATATGTACAAATTAATATTTATTTATTTACGTCACAACCTTTTTTAGTACAATGGAATACTTAAAATAATACCATAGATACACAAAAGTTGTGGAGAACTGGTGCCTGAACTGGTTATCTGAAGAACTCGTATGACATGTTACCAGGACCCCCCCCCCCCTACCCTGGCATGAAACAATTTATGGTAATACATACAATGGATAACTCAAAAGTTGTTAGGCGTAATAGATATTTGTATCAACAATACGTACACATGTAAACACGTATAGACACAGTTATATGATATTTAAATGTTTAAATAACAATCAGTCATAATTAGAAATACATTAGTAAGCAAAGACAATTACAGACATTAAACAGAAAGATAAGATAAAAAATAATAATAATAATTGAAGAATAAAGACTAGGAAGTAGGATGCATTAAATTTTCAATTTCATCATAGTTAAGCTGCCACTCTGTAAGTTTTTTTTTTTTTGAGGGCAAATATTGATATTTTTAAGTATTAAAATGATTAAAAATATCAATCATAGTAGATACCATATGCCAAATACTTAACTAAACTACATAGAACCAGTCTCATAGTGAGAATATTCCATACACAAGAATGTTTCATAGGTGTTTTATAAAGTTGGGGCCCCACAGCCTGAATTCCGCACTGGATGGCGCCTAATAATTTGCAACCTTTTCTGCGTTATTAAATCATTTACTGTTAATCATTTTTGCGGAATTTTCATACTAGCTTTTAATGTATGGATTTGGTCATAAAACATTATGCCAATGTTTAGTTAAATGATGAAATCACAATAGCGCCAACCTAACTAACAAAAATACTGTAAAATGCGATGAAAATGGCTACCATCTAAACTATACGTGCAACAGTTTTAGCTTTGTATTTAATATTTCTTTTTATTTTGAGGTGAAAATTACGACTATATATAATTAATATTGACTCTATTACAAGGTCTACTCTAAAAATTTACCAGATAGTAATATCTGGTCAATATCCCGTAAGGGAAGTGTTGAAAACTTGTGTTTACTATCAATAATATTAAGAAATTGGCATTTCAAGGTAATATGGTATAAAATAATAAATATATTTAAGATTGTTATCTTTTGTTTTATTTTTGCTAAAAAATATTTATTCATTTATTTACTTATTATTATAATGCATTCATGTATATAATATAGAGTTGTTACAATGTTCTTATGATGAGTAAGTACATGAAACCCTGTTTGGGTGTAACAAAATTATATTTATAGGTAGCTAATATACATGCGTTAATGTCAGTTTAGATTTCAAATTATATTTAATTATTTTATATATAATTTGTTTTTAAACAGATTTGTCATGCAATAATTTCGATTTGCATTAAACAAATAAACAACAATTCAAAATATCATAAAAATAATTTGAAGTCAGTCTAGTTATTTAGATATAATAAATATTATATAATTCTATATAATATTTATGTAAATATTAATGTTTATCGGAACATGCAATTTGACGTAAAAGTTATATATTTCTTTTATCAGATAATTCACGTTTCTACTATCTAACTATAATATAAATTATTCGTTTCCATTTTGGACATCAGGCTGGGCAATATAACGAGAAGAGGATACTTTTTGTGTATATTAGTAGAATATTCCTGACGAAGTATCTTGTACGAAGTGCGCACTCTTATCCCTTAGTTATATACTCTTTGTTCCACAGATTAAGTCACTATGGTTCTGTCATTCAATAGCTATTTCAGGGGCCTGCTCTAATCTGTGGTGTACAACATAGTGTTATTGTTGTTTTACATTTATTTATTTCTTTTTCAAAATGTGTGAAAAGTATGAGGAGAATCTAATAATTCGAGATGCAAGAAAGGAGGATATGCAGTCAGTGGCTAAAATGATACAGGTTAACGATTTAAAATTGCAAAATTATTGCAACCTTAGTTCAACAGAAGTTCATTTTGATAAATTAACTTATATTATTTTTTATTTATTATATCACAAAGTGATTAGATATATTAGAATCTTTTTAGATATCAGAAGTCATTCAAAATTATTGTGTATGTATGTTTGGCAACTTTTAAACTGCTTGACCTATGTTCATTATTAAGGTATTATTTATCTATTCGATATTTTTATATACATATATAAGGTTTTTTTTAGGACTGTTGCCACTTGTAAGTATTAATGAAACTTATACTGTAATTATTATTGATAACCTATAAATGTAATTTGAAGGTCACAGAAGTTTTATTTTTTTACTCTTTAGGAACTTGCGGATTTTGAAAATATGCCGAATGGACCCAGACTAACTGTAAAAGGTTTGTAAAACTGTTACCTTGCATAGGTGGTGGTGTATACCACAGAATCTATGGCATAGATAATTTTGGGTGATTTGACATTGGTTAATTAGTTTTGCTATGAATGAAGCATTATTTTTCAGTGCGAAAAATGTAGGTAATAGTAGACGGCTAGTGTAATCTTTTGCACAATGCGTGGCAATTTTTGTACTAAGACTGGCATGAGACATCAGCAGCATAATATAATAGAAAACTCAAGCGATACCTTCCATCGATATAGTAATATTTAGTTTACATATAGATCCCAACTCCATCAAGTGGATCACCAGATTATTTGTTATTATCAATAGTAGTATTTATAAAAAAAAATAATTATTTTTTATGTATGAAACACAAATATTTTTTTATTGCCACAGAATTAGAATATGATGGGTTTGAAAAACAACCACCTGCATTCAGATGTAAGGTTGCTGAGGAACAAGCAGACAGTGTATACTTGCTGGTCGGATATGCATTATACTTCCCAACCTATTCCACTTGGGAGGGTGTCTCCATGATGCTGGAGGACCTGTATGTACGACCTGAAAAGCGACGTCGCGGTGTGGGTAGGAGGCTCTTTGATGCTGTAGCTAAGGTATCATTGTGACCTGACTTTTATTCCAATAATATGGTTTATTTTTTCTATACTCTAAAGACAGACACTCAATACCTGTATTCTGGCTCACTTATACACAGTAATTATTTTTAGTTGACTTTAACTGACAAATAAATCACCAAATTTAAAATGGTAACTGTCTCCTATGAATATGAACATCATCATGTATACATTGAGACACCCACACTTCTCTATCATATGTTGCTAGGTTTTATGCCTCAGTCCATAGAATGAGTAAGATTGGTAACCTCTGCATCTTAGACTCCAAAGGCTGCATCATTAACTCTTCCTTGGGCTTACAATGAAAGTGTTAAAGGAGCATATGACCCATATGCTTCTTTAACACTTTCATTGTATAAATTATAAGCATCTATAATTGTGTTATATTTAAAAAGATATATTCACAGGAAGCGGTTACGAGCGGTAGTTCCCGCCTAGACTTCCACGTGTTAGAGTGGAATCCTGCTAGAATATTCTATGACGGGAAAGGTGCTGAAAACCTAACCAAATCAGAGCAGTGGTGTTACTATCGTCTGAGCGGGCAGGCGCTGCGAAACGCCGCGCAGTCCGCCACCGGGAAGGCATAACAAAACACAATGCGTGCTCGAAATATGTATTTTACATAGTAATAGTACAATTTGTACATATATCTCCGTTACTATAGCCTTAAGTACTGTGATACAATGTGTGCGAAGTCTGAAACTGTTACAAATACTATTGTAATTATCTAAATGAACTAATATGTACAATTTACTTAATAAATGCCATTTAAGTATTCAACTAAACTAGATAGTTATCCATAGAGTCAGTCTCATAGAGAGTGACGTCATAGTGAGATTATTGCATACATAATAAAGTCATGGTTGTTTTATACAGTTGCAGCCCCACAACCTGAATTCTACACTGGATGACGCCTTATAATTTAATACATTTACTGTCTTATAAAATAATTTACTGCTCACTGAAATATTGAAAGCATTCATATTACTACGAACATTTTACCTTTTTTATTATGAAATCAAACATTTATTTTTATAAAACAATCAAGTGGAACCTATACCGTTTTGGTACACTCATATTACTACATACAATATGTTTAAAAAGTAGATATTTAAATTTATGTGAAACTGTTGATGAATAACTGTTCTGAAAAAATACATATAATAATGACACACAAGTGAATCTAGTGATAAGGCGCCATTCAGCCTCTTGCCCCATGCCCTGCTCACCCTCACCCATTCGGGTCTTAGAATTACACTTTAAATGTTCACCCTTCTTTGCATAATGGTGGAAATTTCCATCATAACATTGAATGCCGAAAAATTATATAAAAGTCCAAGTTCATTTTAAATTGATCGTGTCTGGATACCTTTTTAATGTCCATTGCAGAAAAAAAACATAGCTGTCAAATTTATTTTCTTAACCATTTTTCCTTTAATTTTGAACATGAATTATATCATCTTGATTCCAGACAAATTATCTTTTTGAAGACTAGGCAGCATGGTCTCCGACCTTAGCCTGTTCCAAACGGAACAAACGTACTAAAAAAAAAAAAATATATCATCTTGATTTATTTCACCAATAAAAAATCATGCAAAGAAGAGTTCTAGTTGTTATTTTGTGTACTAGTCCATAGTGTATAAAGGTGACAATACGAATACTGTTTATTACTTAGTTTACATAATAGCAATTTTTATATACAACGTAACGGTGGCACATTCCCTTATTCGTCCCCAAACAGTGTTGACCGTTACTGTTAAGGATAAAAATAACAAATATTTATATAATACTAAATATAATAAACTATAGTAATACTTGTTTTATTATTGTTTCAATCGATACCTATTTAGTCTTCCTTGGAGACCTGGACAGCGACTTTGTAAAATACATTTTATATTTATTAACAACTTTATTATTTTTATTAGGTATCATAAGTGATTCAAGAATGTTCGGATAATGTGCAGGTTCTGGGGATATTTATACAAAACAATATTAGAAAATGTCTATATTTTATTATCATATAAATTGTAACGTTTAGCACCAACCACCCACCAAATTACCTACTTAACTCTTCAGGTTAGATGTATTTAGGTGCACCTATTATGTCAGTATTGCCATCTTCAAAAAACTGGAATAATGCTTGAATAGTATATAGGGGTTTACTTTTAATAAATAAATACATCTCTCTTAACCCTCTGAGCCGACATTCCGCGATTTCCGCGTGCAGTATCTACTAGTTTAATTTTACGCATCCCGCGATTACGACGTGCTCGTATTTTTTATGTTTATTGACGTTGTTATCCCGCCATTTTTGTTTTGGTCGATCGATATTGTTTCTCTGAATCTCGCTAGATGGCGAAATATTCGTACTGCTATTTGTTGTTAAAGCGATGTATTTTATTGTAGTGATAAAAAAAAACACGGTCAGAGGGTTAGGTATAGCATTAGTAAAAGGCAGTGTCGTTGGTTTGTAAAAGTTAAATATTAATAAAACTAGTATCTATCATGAGTGGCCAGGAACCCCAGACCTTGTCCTATCTAGAACATATGGAGCTCTGTTATCTCTATTCTTTAGTGGAACTCCTTCCAAGATATGTCTTATCACCAAAAATATGGTACCTACTTATACAAATATACAACTAACTAAATACAGTCTGAATATTATGGCTAGTCATGCATTTAATATGTACAACACTTTACAGTCAAACCTAATTATGTTACAATTCATCTTTCCCTAGATTCGCTTCAAATAGAGATCTCTATAATTATACATTGATACGACTTAAAAATGTTTTCCTTTTTACTTTACATTTAGTTAAAATTACATAATTATTATTTATCTAGTTTTAAATATTATGGTAAATATAATATAGGAAAATTGAATTGAATATTTTCCAAAGATCACAATCACAATTTTACAACAATAAAATTATATTGAAAGACAACAATTCTCTTTTGGCTATATTAAACCAAGCAGCTTCTAAACTATATTCGTATAAGTTGATCCAAGAGCACAATTATACATCCTGGATTTTGGAAGTATTTAGTCCTTTATCGTAGGCGCAACTGGCACGGTACGTACTAACAGCACTAGTGTTCTAATCGTAGTAACTTCACATCCCCATTAGCCGTCTAGTTTTGTTGAGTAAATTTTGTGCTGAGTGACTTTTTGGTCCTCGGCGCTCGTGTTCAGACATTGGAGGGTATCTTTGCTTTTGACGTTTCCTTTCCTGGGTGAGTCCTTGTTCCCACGCTGGGTTAACGTGGTAGTGTATTTCCGCAGCGGAAACAGCGTTTCGTGGTTACCAATATCACCACAGCCTGCCCGCCTGCCGGTACCGCGCACTACCTTCAGTGCAGTGGTGGCGACGCTACGTGGACGCCATGAGCTTGGCGTGCGCGGTCACGTTGCGCTGGTGCAGGAACCCGCTGCCTTCCTCTTCCTCGCCGTTACTGAGCCCGTACTGCATAATACAATATTAATGCACATTATTAATTTGTTTTTATTCTTGAAGAAAAAAGTATTGCAGAAGAAATGCCTAATAATTAAATAACTGGTACTACGTGGGCTCCAGTCGAAGCGTTTTTTTCTTTGATAGTTATAAACTTCGCTGTGTGGTCCTGGTATAGAATGGGCCTTTCCCGTGGGTGTCGTAAAAGGCGACTAAGGGAGGGCGAAGGATGGACAGCAGCGTCCCTCTTAAAGCCTAGCTGCGGTTGTATATCCGCCTCGCAAGCGTGGAAACTACTGGCAAAACTCCTCCAAGGGGGAGGCTTATGTTCAGCAGTGGACAGTTAAAGGCAGATATGATGATGATCGGATGTTCATTGCCTCACACACACGTTATAACATGAAAATCAGGCGATTGGTATGATTGTGAGGAATTTATTACTAAGAAGGTCGTTCCTAGGAGAATCCACAGTAAAGCAAGTTAAGGATGTAGGTGATCGTTCCTTGCGACAATATAGAGTCTAGCACCGGATTTCATTTTTGAATTGAAATTATGACAATTATAGTAGTATAATATGAAATGGGTGATAAGGATATAATTATTGATAGAGAAGTGTAGGTATTAGCAATTCGCCGAGGCTGTAAACGTGAAACACGTAGCGAGAGAAGCTATTTTTGTCTCTCGGAGAGTAGAGTTAGCTGGAAATTTAAATAGCATAGTTTTGGTTAGATCGAACTCTTTACTTTTGGACTCTGGAATGGTCGGGGTATTTCTACCACTCAATGGGTGCTACGATCCTCCGCAATATGATACTTAGTGAAAGTACAATTAGGCAATGTATGATACCTGTAACGCGTGCAAGTAGTGCTGCTGCGAGTGGTAGTGCGCGGGGGCGTGCGAGGCGTAGCCCTCGTAGCCGCCGGCGGCGCTCGGCTCGCTCTTGATGTTGAACAGCGAAGGGTTGGGGAAGAGCGCGGGCGACGACGCCAGCGGCAGCGGGTACTGCGCGTGCTGCGCGTGCTGCGCGTGCTGCGGATGCTGCGGGTGCTGCGGGTGCTGCGCGTGCTGCGCGGCGAGCTGCGCGTGCGCCGGCTCCGGCGTGCCGTGCTCGCGCGCCTGCTTCGCCTGCGCGCTGTGGCTAGACATCGACGACGTCAGCGGCAACGGTACTTCCGACATGCCCGGCTTGCTGTCTGCAATACACCAAACGATATCATTTAATAAAACATTGTGTTTTAGACTAATTGGAATGGCATAGTGGTTGTAAAACACCATCGCCTATAGACATAAATAGCAGTTATTTATTTATTACATCCACTGGGTGAGCCTTACAGTCTTCCAATACGCTCACCCAGGAAAGCATGAGTACAATAACATATAAAAAGGAATTTACACAAAAATATTAACCAAAAAATAATATAAAAAGATTTAACTGAAACATAAAACGTCTGACGTAATATTTATAATTGATACTAGAAAAAAAAAAATAACTATAATATGCCCTATCAGTTGCAGCGATAACCTCAAATGTGTTGCAGAAAGTCAATGACCGCAAGAGAATCAAAATCTTTTTTTTTTAATGAATGTCAGGGAAGCATAGGTAATAAGTAAATGGCGTAGAACGTATAGCTGAAATATAGATGAGAAAGTTGTTCCTTAATCTAAGTAAGTTAATAGAGTCAGTACCTCCATCCATCCCGGGTGAACTGTGCCCCTCTTTTTTAGTTCCATCCTGAGCCGGTTTCGCAGCACTTCCTGACTTTTTCGGTTTTCTTTTTCTTGTTTGGATGCCATCCTTCCGCATCGCAAGAGGTCTGAAATGTTTTATTATTATTACATTAGTTTAAGAAAAAACAAGAAACCGGGGAAACAGATGGCAATATTTAAAAGTAGAATGTGCTTAAATGATTTTGTCTTTGTATTAATAACTTTATCAATGTTACTGTATTGTATTGTAAAATATTTATTGTACATAATTTACAGCGGACACATACAATGGCGGACTTATCCCATAGATGGATCTCTTGCTATTCGATGTCATTTTACATTCCAAGCAAGGAAAAATATTTATTCCATATAATACGAGTATAATCAATAGGAAATTAAAAAAATAAATATAGATACTCGTGTACAATAATAAAGCTACACAATAATGCACGTAAGTTTCGATTACAGCCTCAGTAGACGTAATTTAAATAAACTTAAATAAGAATCATTACATTTGCATAGTTTAAGAACGGATAGTAAGTATATACAGTAGTATTTATTATATTAGTACCAATAATAATTTGGCAATATGTCGTGTCAGGTTAACCTCCACTCGGCTTCCCCTGGGAACGATCGTAGTCAACTCCTAGAGAATTCACCACGATGGGCTAACTGATTTGATGTTATCCTCGTCTATCATGCCTCACTGCTATTCTGGGAGTGTATTTTTTTATGGGTAAAAATAGAATGGTAACGCTGGCAGGGCACCAGCGAGAGATAACTATAGTTTTGTGTTTTTTTGTTTGCATGGCTGTGTTTCAGTTTGAAGTGTAGGGTATGGTAGTGAATTTACGGGGTACAAAAGTATACATACATATATATATATATATACATATATATATATATATATATATATATATATATATATATATATATATATATATATATATATATATATATATATATATATATATATATATCATTTATTTGGTTTGGTATGACAATACAAAAAAGGCAGTAATCATTCCAAGATGGCGGCTAATCAAACATCTAAACGCGCGAGAGGCTCGTAAACGGTCATGTGCTACATTAGAAGCGTAGCCAATGTCTATAGGCGACGGTTCCCACTTTCCATCAAGTGGACCGTCAGCATGTAGGTATGCCATTTTAATTGAATAAAAAAAGAATATTAATCATCTCTTTCTCTTCACTCTGGAGTGTATACTGTAGTGTATTTCATTAACAGTCTTCTTTGAAGTATGTACATAGTTATTGGCAATGTCTACCCACCGATTAATGCCGTGCAGCTTGTAGTAGAGTCCGCAGGCGTTGCAGACCGGCTCGCCGTTGTGGTTGCGCCGCCACAGCGTCGTGTTGCGCGAGCCGCAGTTGGTGCAACACTGGCCGTGTCGCCGCGCCGCGCTCTGCAATCCAACGCGCCTCGTGAGCCACCATGACTCCATGCCATGACATTATACTCGTATCTACTGTCTCAATTATTTACAAACTGTCTCAATAAAACAATACACAATCGAATAATTGTCCCGAACAGTCAGCTACTTCAAGTAAAACGGCCCAGTTGACAGTCTAACTGCGGAAAATTCGATTTGTTACTAACTTCATTTCGAGAGTATTTCAGTGCTAATTTGAACAAATCATGGTTTCTTTTTCATTAATCAATATGTTATATTGAAACAGTTTATATGACCATGCAGAATTAAAAGAAAATCAATGCAATTATACACCAGTGCGAGAAAGGAAAACTCAAACTAACAATTCCTGTACACAAATCCCAAATCTCTTGGATCGTGGTAATGGTAGGCTAATGAAAATTTACTTCGAATGAAGAACTCTGTGGCAACAGTGGGATTTTAATAGGTTATTTAGCGTAAAACAAAAATATGAGAAAATTATCGAAAATTCCAAAGGACAATACTTGTGCAGATTGCGAATCTACGAATTCTCAAAATAAATAGCATAAAAAATCTAAGGCCTCTAATAATTATTTAGGTAAATATGAAAATTATAAGACCAATTATAAAATTAATGTAAAACTGATAAAAGAGTAAAGAAGTTGGTAATAAGTTATTAGATAGAGTGCTATTCGTGTATAATATGCATGCAAAGAAACACCTACACTAAAAACGATCATCTTATAAAAAAAAAAAAAACAATTTTGTTTCTCCACACTCGACTAAAATACGTAAGCACCTACGTAAACAACATAGAGACTATTATTAGATGGCGTAATATTGACATAGAAGAGTAAAGCAAATAAGAAGTGAAGGTATTAACGGAACGTAATCCACCCACCACCTGTAATATGAATCGCCTAGTAGATACGATAGATAAGTGTGCCCAAACCAGTTAGGTGATTCCATGCATCGCCGCAACACCACAACACGAATGTAAATGATGCTCTACAAAAGCAATAAACAGACGCGCGTGCTTCGCCGACACCGGCCCGACAACTATCACGTATGTAGTATGTACACCATTGTCCAATAATGTATGTTTGTGTCGCGGCGAAGAGTGGCGGCTACCGCGCGCCGCGCCGCCGCCGCCGCCGCCGCCGCCGGCGCGAGGCGGAGCCGCCCGTCATTGGGCGACGCTACCTGGCCGTGTCTGTGTGCGTGCCGAGATAACTAGCTGACAGCATCTCACCAACAAGCTCCACTCTCCCGCCGACTATCGGCGATCGACTGTACTTGTAAAGTGAGCTAGCATGCACTATCGGGCCCGTTATCTAGCTCAATAACCTCGGACGTTCTTTGATTAATGAAGCCCGTCTCGTTAGCTAGGTGCACGCGTAACCGGCGGCGAGCGACCGCGGCTCTTTGTCCGCGATATAACCCAATTACTGATCGATTAGTTATCTCTGCGAGGAACAGGGGCCTATCTACGAGGCGGATGAACAAAGCGATTATAATATGGCACTCGGCTATCAAAGTGGGGAGCGGTAGCGTGTAGTTCCCTATCACTCGCCAAAGCCGTAGAAATGGTGCGCGCGTGCGTGCGTGCGTGCTTGCGTGCGCGGGGAGGGTACAGGGGGATTGGTAATGCATGCACTAGTCTACACGCCACCGACTCACCTTCTTCATGCCCCGGGCCATGCCTTCCACACTCATCCATCTCTGCACGGAGCCTTCCTTATAGAAGCGGGTGAGGAGCTCCGCGTCGGCACCTGTTCAACAGAGCTGGCGTTACTAGTGTGCGGTAGCGGACTCACCAGCCGTTTGCTCGGCTTCACGAGAGGACGGTTCACGCCGTTGATCTTGTGGTAGAGGCCGCACGCGTTGCACAGGTAGTGGCCGGTGGAGTCGCGCCGCCACAGCGGCGTGTTGTTGGCGCCACAGTTGACGCACTCGCGGCCCTCCTCGTACGCCTCCAGCACGCCATCTGTCGTCACGCTAATCAGTGGTGCCATTGCTGCTTACCTATCCTTGTTTTTTAACCAGAGTTGTACCTTGTTGCTTTGCTATAGTTTGTACAAAGCCTCAATTATAAGTTCTACCGTCAAGCATGCATGGTTGTGTCACGATATGAAGGGTGCTGTATGGCAGTTATTACCAGTGGGGGGTATAGATGTATAACCTCTTCTTTAGAGTCACAATGTACTTTTTTTTATAGTGCTATAAATAATTATCTATAAATGACGGTTACCATTTTCCATCAAGTGGATTATTAACATGTTTGCTATTACAAATGAAATGGTATAAAAAACTTGGTACATGATCCTACACGTGAATACTTCACGAGCATATAGAAAATTTCTATGTTGCGTGTTCCTGTATACAACAGACATTATTTTAGCTATGAATATGTAAATGTAAAACAAATATTTGGTACAATTTCAGACTGTAAAGTTTTTGATGAAACTAATACGAATTGTTTTATTTTTCTTTTTTAATTTATATTAATTTATATATATATATATATATATATATATATATATGTGTGTGTTGTTTCTTTATTATAATTCTTAATATATGGATTTTTTTAACCCCTGTGTGGGTATTGTCGCATATTTCTGTAAAATAAAGTTTCTTTCTTTCTTTCTTCATTCTTTCTAAAGTCAATTGTATTAAATATTTCTCGTTGACGGTCGTTAAACGTTACTGTATGTCTTTTTAAATACTATATAAATCAGTATATACCTAATACTATGTACAATTATAATAAGTCAGATACTGAGAAAGACCTACACTGTATTATTACGATCAAGATTGATGATATATAAAACGAATTGAGAGTCACAGAATCGTTTGCGAGAGGGAGTCACGCTGTCTGCTATTATTGACCTTGTTTTATATGTATCTATCTATCTATATGCGTAAATAAATACTTAACTTGTATATCTATTCATGTGTGTCAATAAAATAAATCGTATAGATAGTGGTATCTAATTATTTACATAATTATAAAACATTTTATAACATAACTCTTAGTGTATTTTTTTAAAGTTTCAGAAATGAACATTTAAATGATTTATTTTATGTTTATCTTTATTTGGTCTCCCAACAATTGTTACACTGGTACTATTTAATATTAAGATCTATTTATACATAGTGTACACTCGTTTCGGGGAAATAAAGCATGCTAGATGTTTCAAGAGAAATTATAAGATGCTTAATGCTGCTAAGTCACTCAATCATTAATACATAATGTCAATAACAGAATTCTTCATCGTGCACGCAATCAAACTGTTTATAATTACTCCTCTCCATCCAAAGGTTGCCTGGAAGAGATCGCTTTTAGCGATAAGGTCGCCCATTGTTTTCTCATTGTGATTATTTCTTGTAATTGTTTGTATCTATAGTAAGTTAACTATTGTAATCTATTGGAGGAAACAATAAAGAGTATCTATCTATCTATCTATCAATAAATAGTAAAAGATATTTGTTAAGAGACAACTGAGTCTATTATTATTTGTAAACTGATATGTAAGTTTAATTCCTGATATATTCATCCTTTGTCGATTGCTTGGGTACCTCTGTCCCATTCGTGTTTCAACCGTGAAGCAGTTTTGTTTGCATGGCTGTGTTTCGGTTTGAAGGGTGGGATATGGCGTGAATTTACTGGATACAGAGGAATAACACCTGAGTCCTCAGGAATGGCAACGCATGGGGGGTATCATGGGCAAAACAGTATAATCTGTTATGTCCATGGTACTGCTCATGTCTATAGGCGACGGTTATCACTTTCCATCAGGTGGACCGTCAGCTTGTTTGCCATTCTAAGTTGTATAAAAAAAAATTCTCTCTCTTCCATCCATCTTGTTACGTGATAATTACCAATAATAATAAATTTTCTTCTTGCCATTCTTACAAGTACGGTACAATCATTATAAAGTTAGTTGAACATAATATATTAATAAATAAATTACGAAGTGCCCATGACTGGTGATAGGTACAAACTCAGCTTTTACTAGACTTATGTGCGTTCAGCGCTGATTTTCAGGTTGCACCTATATGGGGCACCGTTTTATTGTCAAATATTTAGATATATATATATATATATATATATATATATATATATATATATATATATATATATATATATATATATATATATATATATATATATATATATAAATAATAGTAATCATGTAGATTTCCCGTGTGCTCCCGGCATGGAAAAGGCCACCCCTTCCTTTCCTGTGGGTGTCGTAAGAGACGTCTAAGGGAGGGCGAGTGATGGGCAGCACCGTCCTTCATAAAACACCTCCAAAGTCTAACTGCGGTTGCCAATCCGCCTGAGAAACATGGCAACACCCCCTAGGGGTAGGCTTATGTTCATCAGTGGACTATTAAAAGCTGATATGGTGATGATGATGTAGATATTGTTACTGTACTCTCGTCTCGTTACTGAATAAGAGAAGAAATTTAATTTTTTTGAAATTATTTATTTATTTATTTAATCCTTTATTGTACACACCAGTTATAAGACTAAGACAGAGGTAATGAAATGTACAAAGGCGAGCTTAACTCTAATAGAGTTCTCTTTCAGTGGCGCCCAAAGTGGAAATTATAGTTCAGATCGTATTAAACTATTATTATTACAAGTAACTAAATTCTAAAGGGGGGAAAGAGATTGTTAGCAATGGAGTTTGACAGCCCCATTGCTAGTAATATGCCCTATTAGGTCGACCTCCACTTGATTCCCCATGAAAACCATCCTGAACAATTCTTGTTGAATTCGTCACGATGGGCTAACTGACCTGCTTCATCCTCACCTATCATCTCTTACTGGTGCCCCGCCGGTGCATACCGATAGCGCGGGTGGGGTTACCATTCCATTATCATCCATTAAAAAAAAAACAAAATTCTAAAAATATACGTCTTTATTCGTAGTAACCTAATTGTTATAAAAATAGTAATAATGATAAATCGAGTCAATAGCAGTTGAATGAACTTATGATAGCTGTCAATTAGATCGGCCGCTAAACTATGAGATTACGACCAAATTGTGTATCTAATAAGCACAAGGAAAAATGAATAAATTTAGATTTTTACTTATTAATAGATACTGGCAATTAAAGGTTTCTGTCCTCGCCTTTACTGGAAATTAGTGGTATTATCATTTTCAAAATTGTAAGGGTATTGTCAATAAAAAAAAATACTAATGTTGCCAAGTCCAATTTAAAAAATAAAATAAAAACAAGGATATCTTGTTTTTTTTTTTAATCAATGGATGATAATGAAGTGGTAACCCCGCCTGCGCTAAACGCTGTAGGTATACGTTGGCGGGGCACCAGTGAGGGATGATAGGTGAGAATGAAAGTAAATACTGGGACAATTTAAAAACAGGATGCAATAATTGAGTACCAATAATTAAATAACATGTACGAAAGACAGGTTAAAAGAAACTCAAGTAGTAAAAAACATTATTTTCAAATAAATGGAGATGTCGGTAGAGGCTGCTCTAGACGGACATAATTATGTTGGCCAAATAGGCGACGTGCTGAACAAGGGCCAAATTAAAAGTGCCCGTAACCGGCGAGCGTGTATGAAAAGATTGATGAATGTGGAAGAAGCGAAAGAGGTTTGTATGAATCGAACTATTGGCGTTGCATTATGTCTGCCTACCCTAAATAGGAGACTGGCGTGACCGATACGTATGTATTGAAAATTTTTCAAATATATATCAAAATTATAAAGTTTGCGCGAATTTTAAAATACATGACATTATCAGGACGAAAGAGAAACAGACAAAGAAAGCTGTTTAAAATCTACCCAAGATACCCCAAGACACTCGGAAAAAATAAAACATGTTCTAGGAAAACAGGACGACTGCCAACTCTAACGTATACCTAGTTGAAGAACAATCATAACATTTGTTTAAGTCATACAGCAGTTTAGAGCTTCCTGTTCTGATATCGTAATGTTACAGATCAGCTCTCTTGCAAGATTACAATCATCCAATTGTTAAACATTGTTGATAAAACGCTATTTCTCGGAAGGTTAACAGTGGCGCGTAATAAACTAGCCACTAGTTACTAAGTATCACATGATTATATCAATTATCAGACGGAAAGGTCGATGGAACGAATTGTACACGACTTATCTAATATTGACTGATCCAAATACAAATTATTTATATATTAGTAAGTAGGTGTATCCTGAAAGGGAAAAGACTGTTTGAATTTATTTGAAAGACGTTCTAAAATAAAATTCGACACTAATGGAATATGTGCAGTTTAATGTTTATGTAAAAAAAGAAAAGTTAATTCAAACGTTTTTATATTTAAATAGGTACTTTTTTTTCACGTCTGGAAAAAAAACCAGACGATATACCCTCGAAGTGCCATATGTCGGAGACATGGGTTCGCTTTCGCACTCACCACATCTCCGACGGCAGCGACCCGCCCCCAGATGGTAAGAGCAGGTCTCCTCTCTCAAGATAGGGTGGATGGCGTGCTCACCCTACCACTCAGGGCATGTTAATACAAATAATCCTAATATTGTACTTGTACGTAGTTAATGTATTTTGATATAGTTTAATAAAAATATTTGTTACATATTGATGGGTACGCTGTGATGTATAAGTAATTCCTGTGTCGTGACATAAAAATATAAAAAAAAAAAAATTAGTACCCAATGTACTTTCCATACGTATAGTTTTAATGTAATTAGAAAAAAAAAATATACAGCTCACTTTATGGAAAGTGGTACCCAATCATTGCCTAGAGACATGAAAATACGCTGTCGTGCCAGTAATAAAAAAGGACAGGTCTTCAAGACGTTTATTTGGTCAACTAAAAGCACAATGATATAAATAAAGGGGTAAAACAAAAGATTCTAATTCATTTAAAAAAAGGTAAATAGATTATAAAAAAAAAAACTGTCAATTATAGTTTCTTTTGATTATTTACATGCGTTAAAAAGTAGTTATAGCTAAGTGTGTGTATGTGTAGCAGCTTGCACCTCGGATGTTTGATTGTATGTTATTGCATAACTCAGTAATAAGTATGAATTATCCTTAACTACCTACATTGCATACCTATTGCTTTTAATTTATCAATGTTCATCCAAAGTGGCCTCTTTCATTTAAACCTAAAACGGTTGTCTTTAATTTTACAGTTACATCAATTTTATCAAATCTTATTTGTTTGTTTTGATTTGATATTATTAATTATTAGAGACTTACTGCGTGTTTATTTATAAGGTAATAATGTAACACAAAACTTATCGAGCGACGCTTGCATGAATAATCTACTTCGTATTTATGATGGGGCCAGTTTCCTCTAAACTGTTTCAGTTATTTATTCCCTGATAGTCCATACTGCGGTTGGGTTTAACGTTTACAACACAACATACAAGGATAAAAATACATTACGGGAAAAGATAAAAGATGTTTATTGTTAATGACGGCCATGCAATGCTTGCAAGCAGGCAACTTCGACAATTTTCGTTTGAGAAAAATATTAGAATTTTTTTTTTATTTATACTTTATTGTACACAAAAAATTACGTACATATAAGTATACAATGGAACACATTCCCGCTTGACATGAGATCTACCCTAAGCTAGCTAGCTTTTAAACACAAATTGCGCACCTATTTTTTAGAAAAAATAACTTTGCCTTTTGAGCTTCTCCTGCTGGTTACTCTGAGTCATAGATTACTATTTGCTCTTCTATTGCAGTTGTTTTATTTAATTGTTTTATATAGTAATATTTTATGTATTTATTTACTGTATGTATATATTTATTTATCTAATATATTATGTGTAGGTTGATATTATATGAATTTATCAAGTATTGCTTAATTTTTTTCTCTATTCAAAAATGCACCGCCTACGTATTTCTCTGTTCGCCCAATGGTTGACTGGTAGAGAACACCGTCCGGTGTTAAGTCCGCCAAATGTACATAGAATTTTACTGTGCATTAAAGTTTAAATAAATAATTAAATAATTTATATTAAATAAAGATGTACAACAGGCGAGCGCAAGTCTGTAAGAGTTCTCTTACAGTAAATTCTGAGTGGAACGGAGCATTAATTACCAGGATGGTTAGGGTATTTTTAAAATTTTATTATGAGTATTTTACAGTGCAGTATATTGTACAGTACAGTGAAAAATTAAATTTATGTTAGAATATGTTATCGCTAAGGAAATAATGTAATTTATCTTTGTACATGAGTAATTGTTATAACTTGAACAAATAAAGTATCTGATTGTTACGTGTAGAATAAAGAAAGAGTAACTATCCAAAATAATTACCTTTCAGTCAGTGTCAATTGTCAGTTGTTTTACTTTTTTTTATACAATTTAAAATGGCAAACAAGCTGACGGTCCACCTGATATAAAGTGGTAACCGTCGCCTATAGACATGAGCAGTACCATGGACATAATAGAGTATATTGTTTCGCCCATGATACCCCCCACGCGTTGCCATTCCTGAGGACTCAGGTGTTATTCCTCTGTACCCTGTAAATTCATTCAGTTTGTATGTATAAAGATACATACGGCATATGTCAGTGAATTTACAGGGTATAGAGGAATTAACGCTATACACAACTGCTTCACGGTAGAAACACGAATGGGACACAAACAATCGACTTTTGTACAAAACTTACAAAACTTTATTATTATCATAATTAATTTAATATTAATATAAACACATTACAGTGATATAATAGGGTATGTACACGACGATAACGAGTGATTCACTGATTAGTGGTTAGGCACTGACAGTAAAATACCCGATACGTATTGGACACTTATTTTTAATATCATGATTCACGGCACTGTACAGTAAGTTCGTGTCTATGTTTTTTTTTTTATTATTTAGTATTCATACTTGTACACAGTTATACTGCCTTTGTTAATAAAATTGAATAGGCATAGATTGATATTGTTTGTATTATTCTAAAAGGTATGCACGCTAATTTGGGATGGTTGGTTCTTCCATAATACGACAGCTTATGTAAGAAACTGTCATATTGACATATTTGTCAATAAAAGTAGACTAGACTAGACTTTATCAAGGAAAGAAAGAAAGAAATATTTTCATTCTTGTAAACTTAGATTTAGGTATTTGAATAGTTATTAGTATTTGTTTTTCATTACTGCCCATTCAGAACACAATCTCAGCCAAAAAGAACAGATAAAAAACTCAACTGTTTGTTTTTCAAAAATTTTATATAAATAATGAATTTATGTGAATACAAACTACTTACTAAGCAGTATCAGATCATAATATTTAAAATATATAGTTATATAATTAAAACAAATCAAAAAAATAAATCAGTTGCAATTACTAGACCAGATCAGTCTCTATAGACAGCCGTTCACGAGTATGACGGATTTTTTCTTTTTATATAAATTTATTATTAATTATGAATTTTACGTGCCAGCATCTGGAGCCTTGCACTTTAATGACAACACCAATGTAATTACCGTATTTGCTCGCAAAATCATCATCATCATTGTATCAGCCTTTAATTGTCCACTGCTGCACCATAAGCCTCTCCCTTAGGGGTTTGCCAGAAGTTGTCACGCATGGCAGGCGGATTGGCAACCGCAGTTAGGCTTTGGAGATGTTTTAAGAGGGACGTTGCTGCGCATCCCTCGCCCTCCCTTAGTCGCCTATTACGATGCCCACGGGAAAGGAAAGGGTGGCATATTCTATGCCGGGACCACACGGCAAGTAAATGAATAACATTTATATTTTTGTACACATTAAAACATGTCTACAGGACGGACTTAACGCCTGATGGCATTCTCTACCAAACAACCGTTACGATAAACAGAGAGAGTAAATGGCGGTGTATAGATTAAAAAAAAAAATTGTACATACATTACATTGTATGATATTATTGTAACGTAATATCTCCAACTAATAACATCAATACTTATGGTGTACCAATTAAATTTATCTATGTCTATGTACTTACACAATAAACAGTGTTTTGTAAAGTTACGTTAGCTGTACCGATTGTTTCCTTGTAGTTCTACCGTTCGTACCATAGATAGTAGAACAAAACGGTCTGTTATAAAGTATTAATCTATGTATGTTTGAGTATCTGTCTGTCTAAGAACAAGGAATTGCGATAGAAGGAATGATAAAATAAAAACTGTCAATCATATGGTTGCCTCCTTTCTTCTTATGCAAATATAATTAGTAAAAAGGGGACGAAAGATACACCATCAGTTGCTATTTTTGTCAATCCATAGCAGGTTAGGGTACAGAAAATATTATACGGCCGTATAACCCTACCAAATTCAGATACAACCTGCTTACATACTTCATACATGAATTGTGTTGAATATATAATCTAGTAATTCATTAAAACAATAATTTTATATACACATTTTCTACCTACCTACCTGCGGCTTTATTTTGTTGATAACTTAGGACTTAGGACATAACATACTTGTATGTTATGTATGTATATCAATAATTACTAGTACCGCATTCGAGTATTCTGACACTTCCCTATGGTTGACTGGGAGAGAATGCTTTTAGCATTAAGTCCGCCATGTACACATAATATTTGTACTAATGAATAAATAAATAAAAGTACTTGTGTACTAAATTTCATTGAAATCCATTCAGCAGTGACAAACATCATATTTATTCTTTAATTCTTTCTACCCAAAGGTTGTCTAGAAGAGATTGCTTAGCAATAAGACCGCCTTTTGTACTACACTATATGTATTGAAAACTGTTCAACAAATCCTGTAATGTTGGTGCAATAAAGTGTTAAATAAATAAAATAAATCATATATAAATAGATTATTAGTATACTTCGAGTGAAGTACGACATACCATAAGCGGGCGGACGCTGCAGGGCGTCGTAGGGCGCGCACCACGAGCCCATCACCACGTTCTGTCCGTACAGCCCGCCGGCAACCGAGCCCACGCCGCCCACCCCGCCGCCGCCTGCACCGAAACAAACATAGGTCGTTAACAGCAAGTTATCAAACATTATACATGGTCTTTTCTTTGGGGGGAAAGGGATTGTTAGTAATGGAAACTGAGAATCCCATTGCTAGCAATATACCCAACTAGGTCGACCTCCTCGCGGTTCCCCCTGGAAACTATCATGGTTAATTCTTGATGAATTCATTATGATGGGCTAACTGGCCTGTTTTCATTCTCATCTATCACCCTTCACTGGTGCTCCGCCAGCGTATCCCGTTAGCGCAGGCGGGGTTACCATACCATTATCACCCATCAAAAAAAAAAACATTATACATAGAAAATATCTTATATCTTAGATTATATAGATAGAGTTTTTTTTTTAATGGGTGATAATGGAATAGTAACCACGCCCGCGCTATTGGTATACACCGGCGGGGCACCAGTGAGGGATGATAGATGAGGATGAAGCAGGTCAGTTAGCCCATCGTGACGAATTCAACAAGAATTGTTCACGATGGTTTCCAGGGGGACCCACGTGGAGGTCGACCTGAATGGATTCATTAGACCTCATTACTAACGATCCATTTCTCCCCGATATATAGATAGAATGTCTGCATACAAATGCTTCGAGAAAAGCGGGACAACTTTTTCATACAATTTTGCGTGCGTAAATAGTTACGAGTGATAGCTTCACTATATAATTTTAAATGTTATGTTTTATGTATTGTTAAATAATGCATATAGCTGATTTATAATGTTTCATACATTGTACGCTTGTATAGCATGACATGGAGATACTATTTAACTGATGTAATACCTTAATTCGACCTATGATTCATAATAAAGACATTTGTATTTGCGTATTTGCAATTTTGAATATTATTATATAGAATTTATAAGAAATTTCGGTATAACAATATAGAATTTCCTTACAAAAATTTAAATACAAACTTGCAACACTCATATTTTGACGTCGGTTACTGGTCCGACGGCAGAGTTATCAGCATTGCATCCAAATATAATATCAGGCATTCCGTCAGCTAATTGTCGCAAACCACGTGCACATCTGCCATTTGTTTATTCAGCGTCACTGATTACTGTATCTCATTGTGAATGCAGTGCAAGACAGAGAGGTTTTTTTTTAAGGAGGATAATGGAATGATAACCCCGCCTGCGCTATCGTTACACACTGGCTTGGCGTCAATGAGTGATGATAGGTGAGGATGGAGCAGGTCAGTTAGCCCATCGTGATGAATTCAACTAGAATTAGTCGCGATGGTTTCCAGGGGGACCACGTGGAGTTCGACCTGACAGGGTATATTGCTAGCAAAGGGGCTGTCAAACTCCATTAATAACAATCCCTTTCTCCCTACACAGAGGGATTACGTAAAGGTTAGTATAATGTAGAATGATTCATTTTAGTTGAATGATACTTATCATCGGTCATCGTCATTCTAATAATTCGTTTACGAGACATGGGTATGCTAATGTTTTCTCATAAAAAAAGCTTTATACGAGGAGGATGTTTGTTGCGAGATACGCTGTCCGGGCGGCTTAGTATAAAGTTCGTGTGTAGTTTTTTGCTAGCTACTACGCGTGGAATTCATTAGTAGGAAAATTAATATCACAGTCTATTTCTAGATGGCGCATTACGATTGATTAATTGACAGTGAATTCACAGGGTACAGAGGAATAACACCTGAGTCATTAGGAATGTCAACGCATGGGGGGTATTATGGGCGAAACAAAATACTCTGTTATGTTCATGGTACTGCTCATGCCTATAGGCGACGGTTACCACTTTCCATCAGGTGGATCGTCAGCTTGTTTGCCATTCTAAGTTGTATAAAAAAAAATCTAATTTGATGCAACAGTTTTTGTGTAATGTCGAAACAGATATACAGATATACAAAATTTCTTAAAATTGTTGTTATTATGTTGTATATGCAAATATACTGTTTCTATTAGACATATATATATTAATATGATATATAGGCATATTTTTTATTAATATATTATTTATTGTACACAAACATAATGTTAAAAACAATTAATTTTAAACGTAATGTACAAAGGCGAGCTTATCTCTAATAAGAGATTTCTTCCAGCAAACCTTTTCATGTGAATTAAATGTTATTTAAAAAAATAAAAATTTTGTTTTTAGATAATTCTATCGGTATATAACCATATAATTAACGATTTGATTTTCAATAGATGATAATGAAATAGTAACCCCGTCTGCGCTAACGGTATACGCTGGCGGGGCACCAGTGAGGGATGATAGGTGAAGATGAAAGGGCAGGTCAGTTAGTCCACCGTAATGAATACACCTGTAATTCAGCACGATGGTTTCCAGGGGGGACCACGCGGATGTTGACCTGATGGGACTGATAATACGCATTACTAACAATCCCTTCCCCCCTATAATTCGCTATTATCCCTCACCGGTAGCCAGCCGGAGTAAACCGATAGTGCAGGAGAGGTTACCTTTACATTATATGGGTTACCATTTCATTTATAATCCATTTAAAACATTCTAGTCGAGTCTAATTAGGATACTTATCAAATATTATTAATTTAATAAAATCAAATAAACAAAATGAATACAAAATAATTTTACACATCGCTTGTTTAAATTGAGGAAATTCAAGAATATTAGAAAATAATTAGACCGAATATACATAATATACTCTGTCAAAATATACTCTGTTATGTCCATGGTACTGCTCATGTCTATAGGCGACGGTTACCACTTTCCATAAGGTGGACCGTCAGCTTGTTTGCCATTCTAAGTTGTATAAAAAAAAAACATAGAGAGCTACATTTTATCCGACGCAAAAAAACTTAGGTACTAACAATTTTATTGTCGGAAACGACAGACACAGTGAATTCCTAAATTTCCCGTTACGCATATATGGAGATTACTGAAACCAACGCTTGTTCCTTGAAAACTTCAAGACAGTTGCGTATCTAAATAAAGTTAATTACACTTATCATCAAAGCCACTATACGTTATCGCACTATTTTGTTTATCCCGTCTCAAACTATGTCACACACGTCTATTGTCAATAAACATAACTAACCTGCAAGTATCGCCATGTTTTGCAACCAACTAGTCGACAACTTGAGCGCATCCATAATTGTAGGGATTAAAATTGTTATTGTTTTGAATTACAAGCTTAGTATGTTGATAACACGACTCTCTGGTCAGAGGTCAGCCAACTAACTGGTTGTGGTGTTTGGACGAGTGAGCGAGGGGACGGCGCCGGTCGCTCGCCTCTTATCACGCTGATTCACGAGCCTTCAATAATACCTACGGATCTACGGTGCTCTATGTATGTATGTATGTACGTATGTATACGGATAGCTGATTTCGTGGTAAACATTTGTAGTTTCCCTATGTAAGATGTAAAAGTTCACTGAACTGTATTTAGACAGATATTGTAAGCCTATCCTTCGAGCAGAAACAACCGCAACACGAGACACGACTGAGACATAGATACTAAATTTGGCGACTTTAAAAAACATCTATTTTTTAGTTAGTTCTGTACATAAATACCTACAATTTATACCTTAATCTCATTTATTTATAAAAATATTCTACAAATTTTAACTATTGTTTTGTTTTAACAAAGATTTTAACACTATATTGTCACTCAAATTTGGAATTTAGTGTATTTTTTTTATTCTCATTTGGAAAACAAATAGTAGAATTAACAGATAAAATAATTATAAACCAATAAAGTTTCCACTTTTAACTATTACATACAGAGCAAACGAGGTTCTAAATATAACAATAAATAAATACATATATATATATATATATATATATATATATATATAGATATATATATATATATAGATAGATAGATAGATAATAATAGAAATATAATATACCAGAGGGAGACTTCGTACAAAAGTCGATGGCTTGGGCACCTCTGCCCCATTCGTGTTTCAACCGTAAAGCAGTTGTGTTTGCATGGCTGTGTTTCGGTTTGAGGGGTGGGATATGGCGTGAATTTACTGGGTACAGAGGAATAACACCTGAGTCCTCAGGAATGGCAACGCATGGGCGGTATCATGGGCGAAACAGTATACTCTGTTATGTCCATGCTACTGCTCATGTCTATAGGCGACGGTTACCACTTTACACCAGGCGGGCCGTCAGCTTGTTTGCCATTGTAAGTTGTATAAAAAAAAAAATAGGAAAAAGACAAAATAGTTCAACAATTTAAATAGGTTTATTAGAGGATTGACTTTTTTTTTAATAAGCGGGTTAAGATTCCATAAAATTCAATTTGTTCCTTAAAATTTCTCATGTTTATATTAACGTTGTAATATTACATTGACATAATTTTGTTTTCCTCGTGTATTACGGATGTTATTTCCTCTTATTCTGTTACAGAGCAATCGTAAACTAGAACACTTCCAAAGTTTTCGAAGTTAGTCACACACACACACACACTAATGCGTCAATGGAATAACTAGTCAATCATCGGTAGTGTCATGTAATCATTCGTTCTACCAAACACTACCTATGGAAATCCCGACGTTAAACGGAGGGAAAAATATGAATGAATTTTTATATCTACACGTATTGTAAAGGAGAAGTATGCTTCGATTACTTGGAAGTGTAAAACGGCCACTTTGGTAATTCATTATAGCAACCTGAGACTATTAATATTATTCAAATTTAACTGACATTTTTCTCTGAGAATCGGTAAAATGGCCTGTAATTATTTGACGTAGGTTGCATTTTATTTAAAATCACACTCAGGAAATTATTTCATGATGATAATGTTTCAGAAATTTCCGATGAAACTTCAAATAGGATGCGGTTTTCAATTCAAATGTATCTTTTGAATGTGCCTCACTTGATAGTATCGAATTATGAAACAATTTTGATTATTTTTTTAGTGCATTTATTTCTTTGTTCCTCTCATACAAATTATCAATAATGTCACCTTGTTGTGAAACAATTTCTTAATTTGGATCCTATCTGGCCAGATTGAGTCTGTTAAAAATGAACTATAATTTAAAACACAGTTAATTGGTGTCGGTGTAAAAAAATGCAGTTAAATCCATAACCTCCAATTGAATATAAAGAATTTGGTGTAATAAAAGTATAAGTACTATTTGTATATGCGACTTCATCCACATAAAAAGCAGCTCATATCTTTCTCCATTTACAGCTACAAAATTTCATTAAGGTACCCAGAGGGAGACTTTATACAAAAGTCGTTTGCTTGGGCACCTCTGTCCTATTCATGTTTCTACCGTGAAGCAGTTGTGTTTGCATGGCTATGTTTCGGTTTGAAGGGTGGGATCTGGCGTGAATTTACAGGGTACAGAAGCCAAACAGTCCTCAGGAATAGCAACGCATGAATCATCATGGGCGACATAGTATACTCTATTATCTTTGTGATACTGTTCATGTCTAAAAGCGACGGTTACCACTTTCCATCAGGTGGGCCGTCAGCTTGTTTGCCATTCAAGTTGCATAAAAAAAATTAAATAGTTCTATTAAATCGCCGAAAGGCGTCAAACCAACTCGGCCTTTTAATTATGTAAGGAATAAATAATTTAGAAATATTATGAATCACTTAAACGACCCTTTCTATGCTCCCTTTCTGTCAAAGCGACCTTTTAATACGAGTAATATAGAATACGACCTAGACTGAATATAGACTTAATTGATGGAGTGTCGTGGAGTTTCCCCATTCATTTAAAACTGCGTAAACAATAGACTTTTGAATGATGTTGACAAGCAAATGAATAAATAATAATTCCTTTATTTATTTATTTATTTTTTAAAAGATACATCAACAATATAAATACATACATTAATTTTAATTGATATACAGGGCTTGCATCTTGCATTTACACCAATTACAGATGTACACGACATTTTCTTAAGTCACCGATTGCATATTAACAAAACTAACACCAACAAAACAATAAAAAAAAAAACGTTATACAAGCAAAAAATGCGTTTACACAATTTGCTATCAGTGATTACTACAGTGATCGTAGTAATGACCGAGTGACTAGTGAAATTAGTACATATCTATTGCCATTTATGAAATATATCCACATTAACATAATTGTGGTTATATGTTATATATCTATACTATATTCAGGGTAGGCAGAAGATACAATTTGTAGACGTGTTCTTCTCCTGCTGTGAGTGTTTGGAAAAATTTAAAAGTGGATTTAATTAGATTTTGATGTCGGAAAAGTAATTAATATAAATAAACCAACTAGGAAATTGCGTATACAGTTAGAAAGAGATATGTATATCTCTCTCTTTTATTCTCTGTGTATACGGCATACGGGTATGCGACCCCGAACTCCTGAGCAGTCCCAATCCTTTCCACAACTGCAGTGCACTCCCCTTTCTTTTCCAACATAAGTATTATTCCTCTTATTCCAATTTGCCAATGCCTTATGCCAATTTCCTTTACACATTTCCAGCGTTCCCTTCCTTTTTTCCTCAATCCTTTCTTCCATAACGTAGGTGGCGGGAACCACCAACAAACACTTTCCCAAAGAGGGTTGAAGTCGTCTTTTTGTAATATGGATAAAAACATATTGCGTCGACCCAAAATAATTGGGATAAGGGTAGGAAGATGACGATGATGATAAAGGTGGTGATGATGATGATAAGACACGTACCGTAACCGTCGTGGTGCGCGGCGTGGTGGTGATGCCACACATTCTGGTGCGGGGCGAAGTGAGCGGCGTACTGCTGCAGGCGGCCGCCGCCGGCCATGTAGCCCAGCCCGTAGCCCTCGGCGCAGTCCCCGCCGCCGCCGCCGCCGCCGTAGCCGCCGCTCGCGCCGCCGCCGCCCCCGAACATGTTGCACTCACTACACGCTCACAACTGCTGCTGCATGCTCTTCTTACACTTGTTTATCTGTGAATAAAATAAAAGTATATAAAGTATATAAAAAAATAGACTTTGGTCTATGCCAATCTAACCAACAAACTCTGGGGAGACCAATGGTGCTGCTAGTACCCATTATTCACAATCTCTTCTCCCACTATCCCATTCGAGTTTTTACCATGAAATAACTGTGCTTGTATGTTGCATGCTTTATTTTAAAGAGTGGATTTTTTTTAATAGATGATAATGGAATGGTAACTCCGCCTGCGCTATCGGTATACGATGGCCAGACACCAGTGAGAGGTGAGGGTGAAAGTAGGTCAGTTAGTCCATCATGAAGAATTCCGTAAGAATTAACCACGATGGTTTCCAGGGGAACCGCGTGGACGTCGACCTGATAGGGCACATAGCTAGCAATGAAACTGTTAGATCCCATTACTAACAATCCCTTTCACCCCAAATAAAATTATATAGTAAAATGCCAAGTGGTCCCGGCATAGAATAGGCCACCCCTTCCTTTCCCGTGAGTGTTTTTTTTATGGGTGAAAATGGTATGGTAACCCCGCCTGCGTTAACGGGATACGCTGGCTGAGCACCAGTGAAGGGTGATAGATGAGAATGAAAACAGGCCAGTGAGCCCATCATGATGAATTCATCAGGAATTAACCATGATAGTTTCCAGGGAGTACCGCGAGGAGGTCGATCTGGTTGGGTATATTGCTAGCAACGGGATTCTTAGTCTCCACTAACAATCCCTTTCCCCCATCCCGTGGGTGTTGTAAGAGGCGACTAACTCTTAAAACATCTCCAAAGTCTAACTGCGGTTGCCATTCCGCCTGCCAAGCGTGGCAACTACTGGCAAAACCTCCCAAGGGAGAGGCTTATGTTCAGCAGTGGACAGTAACGTCTGATATGATGATGGCATGGTGATACAATAAAATACAAATTATTTTATTATTTAAACCGCCACCAAGTATCTTTGCACATCCTAAAGGTTGACTGGTAGAGAGTACTTACTCGCATTAGCTTTAAGTTTGCATTTGATAAAAATGTGGTGATGGTTTTTTAACTTATAATATAAAACTTAGAATGGTAAACAAGCTGACGGCCCACCTGATGGAAAGTGGTAACCGTCGCCTATAGACATGAGCAGTACCATGCACATAACAGAGTATACTGTTTCGCCCATAATGCCCCCCATGCGTTGCCATTCCTGAGGACTCAGGTGTTATTCCTCTGTACCCAGTAAATTCACGCCATATCCCACCCTTCAAACCAAACACAGCCATGCAAACACAACTGCTTCAAGGTAGAAACACGAATGGAACAGAGGAGCTCAAGCAAATGACTTTTGTGCAGTCTCCCTCTGGTATCTTATTTATTTAATTGTACTCTATTCTAATCAATATGTCCCTGTCACCAGTGAAACCTAAATACAGTATAAAAGTCCTTTTTACACCCCAAAATGTTTAAAATATAACAAGAATACTACATCGAAACTGAAATGCGAATACGCTAATTGAAAACTGGAAAGGTTCGCTGTTAGGCGCCTAATTATGTATATTACGATTATGTATGTGAGTGTACTGTTCAAATCGCTCCGATATCTGTTTTCGAGAAGCTTTCAGATTGTTTATAGATTCTTTATCTCGCTCGCTCATTAATGGAAGTGCACGCTTTGTTAATTAATATTTAATACGATAATGAAGGGCGTAATTATGTCGGAGTGTTTTGGGACTCTAAACTGAACGTTCCAGCGTGCCACCATTATTACGGAGCTGATCCAGATCGATCGGTTCATGTTTTATCTCTTCATTATATTGTTTCCAACAATTATTATTATTACAAGCACTTGTACGTGTAGATAGATTATTTGCTTAATCAAAATTCTCTGAACAGGTAATAGTAATTTAAACAGACTATGGATAAAAATAAATATTGTTTTAATTATTTGTCGTGTGCCAATAAACCTAAGATAATTACATGCTTTTTTACTTTTTATTTATTTCCCCATCTCTGAAGGGGAAAAAACCGGTCAATTGCGAGTCGGACTTGTGCACCGAGGGCCCGTACAAATTATAATTAAATTTAAAAAAAATCACATCTGTGATCTAACTACAAATTCACTAATTAATTTACTAATACTGTACGACATTACTTTTTGCCAAATTACAGCTGTATGTTTTGATTTTCTTGCAAATGTCAAAATATATCGTATAAAGCGTATTGTGCATTATATTTTAATGATTTCCCACGGTTGTATCTTTTGTTAACTCAGAAATTTTAATTTTTTTCAAGGCTACGAGATTACAAAGATGAGTATTTGATATTAATTTCAGCTGATACCTCCACGTGTTGCTGAGAAAAAGGATCTTGACAAACGAAACAACAAAGTGAACCCTAAAAATTGAAATTAAATCAGAATAATGATTTAGTAAATACAAAAATACATGATAGTTTTGGGTACTTTCTTTGAAACACCATAACACAAATCCTATTGAGCTAGAATGTAACAAAACAAATAAATTTAAAAGAACATTGTAAATTAGTTTCTACGGGAATCTGTGAGCGGAAGAATAAAGGGTTTTTGTTATCCAGATATAGTCTCTAGAAACTATACAAAGTTTGGAGTTATAATTAATTTACAATTCATTAATTTTTTTTTGTAATTCGAATAAAAATTTGATGGTTGTTTATAAAAAATGTTGTAATACTCGTATTATTTATTAATTATATTAATTGTAAGTAAAAATGCCTTCTGTTCACTTGATGTGATATACATACATATTTTGATATAATTCACTTTTTTATCAATTTAACGTTTTATAAAAAAAAAAAAAAAAAACTATATCTATCAAAATAAGTATATAAAATTTTTGTATTATTTAATCATTGCTGTCAATATCTGAACTTTAACAACATGAATTTAATTATTTTATATATCAATTAACTTAACTTTATGGACACTCACTATTATATATGGTTCCTTTCATACATGTGCTTATATTACTTGCATACACCCACTCTAACTTGCCTACCTCGCTATGGAATCAAAATTTTTGTTTGTATAAGTAAAATCCGTTATTGGCTGTATTCATAAGAGGCTTAGCATGTAAGTTATTTTTTAAGAGCTGTGGATTTTTGTATAAAATAAAATAGAAAATAAATAAAGGTTTATTTTGAACAGTGGTAATTCTATAATTTATATTTATAATAAGGTAATAGGAAAATGCTTCTCGTATTTTCCTATAAAAATTATAAAAATTTAATTTTAGGATTTCGATATAAATAGTGCCTACATCACAAACTGTACAATTATTTCTCTACATTATATTCATAATGTTATAAAAAACTAATAGCTACATTATAAAATAAAACCGCATCCGGAACTACAATAACGTTTCCTCAGCACGCTCTTGATCGTTTTTTTTTTAATTGAAAATTATCTAAAAAAATGTATTTTTACAATTGAAACGTGTAACATTGTAAATCACTTGCGATTATGGCGTATCAGGCGTGATATGATGCAGTGATGATACGGCACGTACCCCTCGACTTTGTTGCCATATCTCACCACGTAGCGGGCAAATAAATTTATATTCTATAACTTTTACAAAACGTTCAAATTGCCAGTAAATCGTGTATTGCCACAGTGACACACTTACCTAATACCACAATCATTTAATCACTATCGACGTGTAATTATGTCGGTGAAGGTGATGACAGAAATTTACTAAATACGTACCGGTAAACTGGTATCGAGTGATTATTATTTTTGATGCAATTAATTACCAATTTTGTGGTAAATATTGGTGATATTTTAAATAATCATTTTCCAATATTAAGACTATCATAATGTGTTAACATTGCTGTAGATTTATCTCGTCTTTACGTATCACAATGTGAGTTATTCTTTCTTATCTACATTTAGATATCTGCTTATAAACGTTTGTAACGTGGTATGTTTATGTTGATAGTGGTATTATCTCTGTACAAAGATATGGAATGAAACAGTTGCTTATCGAGTTCACTGTTCATGCAATGATGGACACTTTACACGATTAAAATCGCCTGATACATATTTTTTAATCGTTATAATTGCAAAGTTGAAAATTATGGCAGCCATGTAAAGATGTCATTACTACATGTAGTTTGCGTGCTCATTTTTGGCCGTGTACAATACAAACAAACATCTATTGAGACCTGTGGCTAAACTATTAGAGTTTCTTTTTTTAAATTTAGGTTAAAAAATATTTTAACAAACGAGAAATGCACAAACACACAGTACAGTTGTTTTTGAATACAGTATAGTTGCTATGAGCAGTACCATGGACATAACAGAGTATACTATTATGTCCATGGTACTGCTCATGTCTATAGACGACGGTTACCACTTTCCATCAGGTGGACCATCAGCTTATTTGCCATTCTAAGTTGTATAAAAAAAATACTGTTTCGCCCGTGATACCCCGCATGGGTTACCATTCCTGAGGACTCAGGTGTTATTCCTCTGTACTGTACTGTAGTAAATTTACGCCATATCACACCCTTCAATTCAATTGAATTTACAGGGTAATTCACGACATATTCTACCCTTCAAACCGAAACACAGCCATGCAAACACAACTGCTTCACGGTTGAAACACGAATGGGACAGAGGTACCCAAGCAATCGTACAAAGTCTCTCTCTTTTTCATGACTCAATTTTATGATTATGTTATAATAATATTTCAATTCAGTGCCAGTGATAATCGACCAGTGTAGAATGGGCTACCCCTTTATTTCTTGTAGGTGTCGTGAAAGGTGATTAAGGAAACTTACCAGAGGGAGACTTTGTACAAAAGTCGATTGCTTGGACACCTCTGTCTCATTCGTGTTTCTACCGTGAAGCATCACGGGACAGAGGTGCCCAAGCAAAGGACTTTTGTACAATGTCTCCCTCGTTTGTCTGCCATTCTAAGTATTACAATAAGCTTTCTTGTTTATTGAAAACTGAGAAACGTTCTAGCGTTTATATATAGCGTTTGTAC